AATTTGATCGGTTTTAGAGTGTGTGACTTAAGCGAACCGATAAGGTGTCGTTCAAGTCTTCCTGTTTGCTTGATTGAAACGTGATGTTCACGAAAGTCGCCTCGATGGATAAGATAGAGTTAATACACATGGCTGTGGTATTTGTTTTTCGCTGAGTACCGTAGTTTTTTGCAAATTGTCCTCCAAAAATGTCTCAAATTAAAGTCTTGACAAGTGTCACGACAGGCCTTCGCTCGAGTGAAATTTAATTTCCGTAAAACTCTGAAAAATAAAGAGATCCGATCAAACGGATTGTGGTTTTAGTATAGGTACATGAATGTCTTACAACACACAAGAAATGAGCTAAATCTGTGTCTCAAGCAAAATCAACCGGACCGCTCTTACAGAGACACTCTCTTAAAACTTGTGAAAGTTATTATCAACAATAACCTCTTGATCCCATTTCATCATTTCAGGTGCCAGCTCGTTTTTTGCAAAATCAGCAGCTACTTTTTGGAACTCTCTTTGATGATCTGTGAGCCCCATGGATGCTGAAAAAGAAGAATGAAAACTTGCTAATAAAAAAAAAACTATAAGTTTTAAAAATGGGTATTTTCCCACTGTAAATTTTTGGCAAAATAATCAGGTCAATAATCTCCTAAACACTAGGTGGTACTTTCTTACACCATACACCTTTGTATTGTAAAATTGAAAAATATTTCCAAGGATTATCTTCTAAATATTGTAGTTGTAAGATCGGTGTGACTGCAATAAAAAATTCAGAACTAATAATTGTTGTGTTCCATACTCACTACACTGAGGGTTTTAGGTTTGAACCCCCCCCCCATTCCTCTCAAATTCCAGTTAGACTGAAAAGTCTTTGCTTCCTGCGGCTTATGTAAGTTTGTGGGAACACATCTGTCCTTTCAGAGTAAGACTCGCCTCTTCCCCATTTGAAATAAAAAATTCATGAATGGAATCTTGGGCGTACGCTTGACCTCGCTTGACTGTGTAAATAGAGGCAGGAAGTAGGAAAAGGGGTATCCTGTGGATTGCGTAATTCCACGGAATCTCGATAGCACCCAAATATATCTACAACGATACGAGTCTTATATTATTTATTCAACTGTTTTATAACTTTTGAAAATACAAAACTTTCATTACACACGTATGGCCAATATTGCCTCCATAAAAAAGGCTAAAATACGGTAAAATTTTCAGAACAAATTCTCTGTCGCATGTGATGACTTCATGTTTCAAAAGTACAAAATTTGAGAAAAAATTAAACTATTTTACTAAAAAAACGTACGGTCTAAGACAGATGGCATGTGTCTCCATGTGTTTTCTCTTGTTACTGATTTCCATCGCTGAGCATTAAGTCCACGAAGGCGTCGAATTCCTCGTAAAAGTGACGAGCCACAAACCCTCGCTAACTTGCCCGCCATTTTTGTCTAAGCGACCTGGCGATGTCTTGAAAAAAGGGGAGGGACTCGGGAGGAACCGGAGGAGGACCCAGGGTTCTAACTGAACGAAGAGGTTGCTAAAGTTGCTGTTCCCTGCCTTTTGATGCCATTTCACCATTCTCTGACCTGAGGGCAGGCTAGCTGGAGTAGCAGGCCTTTTTACCAGATGTTAAAATATATTTTTATTTACCCATAGAGTAGAGCATGGATTAATATTGTTTCACTTTTTATTTAGAAGTGTACTACTCTTTTACTAGTACCTTTTTTTGTCTCATAGTTTTCACTTTCTCTATCTTAGGTCTTGATTGACAAAGTCCAGCTGCAACGCAGGCTAGGGTTTTATTGCTCGACAAGATTTTGTACCTGATCAGAGATGGCATTTCAGATGAATAATAAAAAGGAAACAAATTAAGCAACAAAACCGATTGTCATGACAAAAAGCTGAAACTAAGAGCACTTTTCAAAAAGAAATTTATTTCTTTCCTTATAATACAAAAAAGATAAGCTTAGTTTTGTTGACGTGTTCTAAGAGCTATATACATCAGTGTTGCCTAAAGTTACATCCCAAAGTGGTACTAGCACTATGCACTATGAACAGATAATCAATTTAAATATTAATAAATACCAATTTTAAGCTGCACTTTGCACCAGTTTACTAGAGTTAATGAGTAAATTACAATCACCTAATGATAAAATACTGGGTTGGTATCATTCTTAAATACAGTTGAACCCTGTTGACACAGACACTAAGGGGGCCATAGAAAGTGTCCATATTAAAGATAATTTCGAATTATTGAGAGAAAATCTAAGGGCTTTGTTTCCCCAGGGACAAAGCAAACTGTTCGTATTAATAAGCAGGTGTCTGTAAAGCAGGGTTTTACTGTACATAAGTACCCTACATTAATAAAAAACAGGTGTGAGGTTTGTAATGTAAAGTTACAAACCATTTTACCTTCAGTTCCTCTTAGGGGCCACAAATTTGAAGAAAAAAATTGAGTAAGGCTGTTCTCTATGAATAATTAAGGTAGGGAGCTCAAAACCTCCAAACGTTTGAAATTCATGATGCTCTGTTTTGTAAAAAGTACTATTTCTTGGTGACCAAAGGGCTTCTCGGCAGGGGGCATTATAAAATAGATTGAGAAAATAAGTTTATTATTATTGAAGAGAGCCAAAGTTGATTTCATAAATAACATAACATTGCATCTCGATTATTCCATCATTATTACAACCAAATGTAAGAAAACCTAGCACCTTTTAAATAAATCGTGGAGTATATCCAAATACCTTCATAATTTTACATTAAGATAACATGCACAATTTAGACACTGCCTATAAATTTCCTGGGTTCCAAGTGGGAAGAAAAAAGTGAGCTTATTTTCAAATTTGGGAACTTCCTAACTAGTACTGTACTTATAAGCCTCTCAAGTTAGATACATATCACATGTCATCCAGAAATCATGGCCATACAATATTTTATTATTTGTGAGCTATCTAATATTTAATATTTTGCTCTGTTCCTAACCAATCAAAATTGTCTACTACAGTGTAAACACTCTGAAAATATTGTCTTCTCCTACAATTACCAGGATAGTGATAAAAATAAATATATAATAATAAATCATTTTAGATACACGTAGAACCATAATTTATTCTACGCATCACAGATTATTAAATAACATCATTATAAAACAGATATAATTGAGTAAATAAATAACTTAGTAAGAAATGAAGGTATTGCCTTTGCCCTGCAAATGGCTAGACCTTTGCATGGCTTGGGTGACCATACTTCTCTTCTTCATAGAGGCTCCCCTTGGGTATTCCAATAAAAATTTCCAACCCCCCTTGCACTCTTTTTTTTTCCCTCCACTTCCCCTGCCTCTATGGACGAGAGAGTGACTATGTAAAATGGCAGTACCGTATCCAGGGGTCAATTAAATAAAACTTTTACAAGTGTAATTTAAAATCCTAGTGTAGTCTGTTGTTTTTGAGTACGAAAACAATAGCCACACTTGTAAATTACACTTGCAAACGTTTTATTAAATTGACCCAAGTAGAGGGTATAAAAATAGTGTTAAATTACTACTTACATCCTAAATACACTGCCACTGTTTATCAAAGAACCTGGCCAACTCTAACCTGTGGTATTTCATAGACGTAGAAGTTTTAAAAACGTGCACATTTAAAACCACAACTCATCAGGATCAGTGGACTTCTTTCCAAGTATGCTTTGTTCCCAGTCAGAAAGCTGAATCAAAAAGCCACGATTAGGGCGAATACACGTCCTCCTGTCTCTAACATAGTCATGAGCGACCTTAAGAGTCCAATGTCGGGATTTCATTAAGTATGCAATGACAATTGTTGAACTGCGGCTCACACCAAGATTGCAGTGAACTAAGATGCATCCACCCGTAGACAGTGCATCAGAAATAAACTGGCAAGCTTTGCAAAAATAGACCTTCAAATCACTGGAAGGATTATCGTCCAGTTTGATATTTAGATACTGAATGCGATCAGTGAAGGGAGAGGCATGTTCACTTCCAATGTTGATGACATGGGTGAGTCTCAAATCAGATATTACTTTAGCATTAGTTGCTTGCTCGCCTTTACCCAAGTAGAGCTGGTTTTCTATAATGAGAGATGGATATACAGTGATTTCTTTATGATCGCGTCGAATGGTAAGTTCTTTGGTAGTGCACATAAATGGCAGAACTTGTTGGAAACTATCATATCCTGAATCTAAAAACAGAGGTTCTACCAGCTCAAAATTCATCAACTCCCTCATGAGCTTAATCTCAGGCTGCTCTCCGTTTCGCAGGTCCGAGACTGCGTTTCCATATACAATTACGTGTGTGTACTCGCTAAGCCGATTAGCAACAGCGTCCTCGCCGAAGTTGAACCCATAGCCGAGCAACGGGGAAGCCAGATCATTATACAGGGTAGCTCCGCAGCGAGCTAAAATAATATGACCGCGATCGAACTCCGCTTTAGATCTAGCATCCACCAAGAGCAGATAAGAAGGATCGAAGATATTGGAGTGTATTGCTCCGTCCCAGAAATAATTGTACAGTTCATTGACGGTGATTAAATTTGATGCATCAATGCTCCCGCTTGCCTGCCCAGGAAGAAGCCCCGGTGACTGCGGGACAACGTTGGAATTCGAGTCTTGAATATCTTGATTTTCACTTCCAGCAGCAGTTGAACCGTTTGCAGTAAATGCTTCTTTCTCACTCCTCTGAAAATTGGACGAAGCACTAGTTTGGCTCGCTAGAGTGTGGTTTTTGGTCGGTCCAGAAACCTTCTCAAGTTGCTTGTTGTCGGTGTGTTGTTTCGTCTTATGGCTAAGCTCCCTTGGAGATTTCGAGTGCGCCTTTTGTGAGTTTACCGTTTGAGAATGCAAAGAATCTTGAGACTTCTTTCTCATATTTATATGTGATATCCAAAAATTTTTGCTATCTCTTCTTTCCATTCCTTTAGTTTCTTGTACTGATTCCGCGGCTTGTTCGCGCTTTCCACTCTTCACTCTTTTGCCACTATTCTTCGAATCTCCTTTCACATTGACTGATCCATCATGTTTATCCTTTTTCACAGACTTTTGTCTCGGACTCCGCGAAAGAGTCCCTCCCATTGCAATATATTGCCTAGCAGAACTGTTCCCTGAAACCCACTGCGGAAAGAAAATAATTTCACCGTAACTTGCGCAAGCATCTCATCTTGGAAAGTAAACATTTATTGTTAACTTCTCCCCGTGAGGTACTGGTAACCAATTTCGGCAGCGCGAGCCTATTCAAGCTTAGGAGGGAGGGGAGGGGTCGGCTGTGAACATAGTCTTGGGAGCTTTTTTCTGGCAGTGTCGCGAAGCCTGAGCAGGCGGAGTATTTTTGACGAACCACGAAATGCTTGTTAATGTGATAAAATACTGTGTCAAGTGTTTGATATTACTTCTCAAACGAAACGAATTTATAAGGAAAATAAAGGTGCAATAATTAGCAGTCTTTTAAACTGCGAGCAGTCTCTTATTTTTCTTTGTAACTGAAAAGGGCAAAACATTCTTGTTCAAAACTTTGTTGAGTAGCACCTCCCGGGTAGAGTGAAGGGGGAAAAATACCAAGCGCGAGAAGTCCAGGCCCCGATTGTTCAAAAGTTAGATAGGGCTATCCAGTGGATAAATCACTCTCCAGCGGATAAGCATTACGAAAACTAATTGCGTTATCCAATGGATAGAGATTTATCTACTGAATAGTACTATCCACCTTTTGAACAATATTCCGCGCGGCCAATTCGTTTCGGATCACGTGGTCCAAGCGAAGCAGTTCCCGTCCGTTCGCCTCGGACACGTCACCGAAGTGAATAGACCGAGGCCTGGGAAAACGTCGTACAGGGACTGGGCAAGGACCAGTATTGTAACCACGAAAAAGGCGAAGGAAGTGAGACGACTCACATAGAAAGAAATAATTTATTTCTATAATTTAATTTCTGCATTTGACACTTCCTTCTATTTGACTGAAGAAAGAGGCAAACAATATACACTGTTTACTCCCATTTCAGTTTCTGTTAATAAGTATCCCGCACTTTTTTGAAGATTTTTTCATAGAAGTAACTACATTTATGTCTGTACTGATAACAACAACAACAACAATAATAATCATAAACGTAATAACGACAACGATGATACTATATAGCACCAAGAGATAATATTCTCTCTTGATACCACTAAAGCATTTTCTTAAGCCCAGCCCTACTCTATTGTTTTGTGTTAAATAATTTTGATTGTAATTTTGAATAGAACTTTATAGTCCACTTATTTTCTGTCAGGCTCTATTAAAAATAGGTAGTCTGTACACGTAACCTTTTTTTTCTCTCGCGTGACGAAAGATAAAAAGGGCTGCGTGGGAGACTAGTTAACAAAGACAAACGAAAACGAAAAACGGAGGTTTAACTAGCCTGCGTGCAGACGATAACTAAACTCTGATTAGTACCGGAGTTTAATTTCGTCTGCGCGCAGGCTAAGTTTAACCTGACTTGAAATTCATGAAAGTAGTATGAGAATAGAAAAAAATAATGAATCACTCGCTAATAACAGGCGAAGAAGTCTCAGTAAAATTTCGGAATTTGAGGGTCTCTACAAAAATTGAATAAACGTTAAGTTGATTAGTGTTCATCTCGAGACTGAATACTCGTAGCTGAGCACGAAACATGAGCCATATGTACACTAACGCTTAGGGGAAAAACTGCTGACCGATCGAGCTGCAGCACCACCTTTTCCTCATCCGGGTCAAGTGTCAAATCTAACAGCCCAGAGCAAGTGTAGTAACTGGTGCAACCCTTTGCGTCAAATGATGCCGCAGCCACGCGCACGATAATATTCTTCTGTTGATGAAGACATACTGCCCCGCTAACGGGGTGTGTATAAGTATTGCGTCTAAGCAAAAGTTGCCTCATTCTCGGGCTGTACGTAACTATGACGTCAATGCCATAAGAGAACCCTGTCCAACGCCAGCAATACTGTAAAAACAAAATAAAAAACACTTCATTAGAGAAACATGTACGCTTTATGTCCTCCACTGTCGTGCACTAAATTAATTTCAGTCCAGCTTTGTATTCTCCGGCGTTAACCCACTCTCCACTGGGAATTTTACCGAATACGCCTCTTTGAAGCTAGTCGAGCCGTTTTCTGGTCACTGTATGGCTATAAAGAGCTAAAACTGACTAAAAAGACGTTTACACGTGGAGCACGTCATGGCCTTCTGTTTCAATGATCCAAAATATCAGCTCCGAAGTTCGGGCATGAACAGAAAGCAAAATCTCGAGATAGTTTTCGGGTTTAAAATTGACGCAGCAGTCTCAACTTTTACCTTTCGCTGTCTCCCCTCCACTCTCCTTCCTCCCTTCCGCCCCCCCCCCCCCCCCCCCCCCCCCCCCCCCCCTCTCCACGTTTCTTTTCTCTTTTTGTACGTAGTTTTTTTTACTCGTTTTGAAGAAGTAAGGATGTTAAATCCAAAAAACCTTTACCCGGGGAGGCCGTCCATGGCTTTTTTTTCAAAAAACCAAAAAAACAGCCCCCAAAGTCGGGGAAAAAAAAAAAACAAAAATTCGAAATAGTTTTCGGGTTTAAAATTTACGCAGCAGTTTCAACTTTTTCCTTTCCCTGTCTCCCCTCCCCTCTCCCTCCCCCCTTCCCCCCCCCCCCCCCCTCCCCTGCACAAGTCGTTTCGATACAAGTTTATTCAGTCGATGTGTAAGTAGTTTCACGTACTAGGCTTAAAGAACGAAGAATGTTCACCCCAAATATTTTTCTTGCTCACGCGCGAACTATACCCATAGTCAACGAAATTTTTCTAAAATTTCATTGGTTGAGTACGCATCGAAACGACTTGTATTAAAACAACTTTCTATCTTTACGACCGATAAAAATGGTGACTACATAAGCAGTTCAAGGGCCGTGGATCCACAAGGGAGGTTCAGGGCGGGAAAATTGGTTAAAATGCTCACTGACTTCTCTAAATCCCTTCCAGGTAATGTCTTTAATAGTAGCATTTAGCAACTCTGCAATTTCCCTTGTTCTACAAGCTGTTGGCAAAAATGTCGTTTAAGTGCAAGCGCTTCACTGCTAAGAAATTATGAAAAAACTCACCGATGAGTTCCTCTCTAGTATCCGTCCACACCTGAGAGCATTGGTTCTAAATTTGTCAATTGATGGACTTGAGTCTCGATTTTGGGATACAGAAAGCATACAAACCCACTGCGATTTGTACACTGGATGTAACCAATCTGAAGGTAAATGAGATTAAACAGTCAACACTCGTTCACACAAGGAAACCGCATTGTAACACCAGGATTGTTCCCTGTACAAAAGAGGAGTATTAGACACAGAAAAGAATCCAGACTCTGGTCTCTTTTTTGACAACTGGTTCGACGTGCGATATTTGCAAAGCGAAGGCTAACTCCAGAGCTACAGTTACACAGACAGAGCGGGTAGGGGCATGGATATTGGGTCGTTTCGCCCGATGGCAGTTCGCCCAGACTAAGTCTATTCGCCCGATGTTGTCGTTCTTTAAGCCTGAGAAAAAGGACAAAGCATGGAAAGACAGTGACTGCACATGTGGAATCCCAGGTTAACTAAAATTACATCTCGGAGAAGTTAGTTTACCATGTTGTAGGGTGTTGTATGTCATCGGGCGAATCGACTTAAGTCCTAGGGAACGCCTTCGGGCGAATCGTTTTTCGGGCGAAACGACTGCAGTTCACTCTTGGTAAACGTTTAAAATTTTCGTTTTGGTCGATACAAACTCTCATGTGTATAACACTTAAAAGCTTCTCTCAAAAGATAAAGACTGAGCCGCAAAAACAGGTTGAGTACCTTGAGGAATAATTCTGTCAGTGTCCAAGAGCTGGATTGAACGTATGTCATTTACAACATGATGTAGCCTGATCGCTCTGAAGGCAGGAACAAACTTTCTGCCCTCATCAGTCTCTAGAAAACACATGCTGCTATCAGTTGCTCGTGATGCAAAATATGTATTGCTTTGTGCGCGTACATCTTTCCAGCTTCCCTCCCAGTTGGGGTGAAGATGTAGATATGCCCAGACCTTCAGTAAGTTATATACATCTACTTCAATCTGCATTACAAATAATTCTTGAGAATTGACCACTTCGCTCATCAGCTCCACACTACAAAACAAATAGAAACAAGTACTATTCACATGTAAAGTAGAGCCCGGTTTATACGAGCATGCAAGTTCTCCTCGACATATTTTTCCCTAACGAAAGAAATGGTGAATAAGTATATGCCTTGGGGAATCTACCCACCTAAGTACCACTCCCTAGACTCAACATTTTGCCCTACGTGAGAATTTAGTGTTAACGTTTGGTTAGGGGAGGGGTAGGTGGATAGGTCCCTAGACTCTTGAGGGACATACTATCGATTAGACTTTAGTTGAACTTCAGAGGCAACAGTGTCTCAAATTGTCAAAAAACTCACCGAATGTTTATCCTAAGAATTTTTTGTTGTACGTAGAGAAAGACCTTCTTCACGAGGAAACTACTCTGGCGAACGTTATGTTAAACAAACCAAAGTATGTCAGAAGCTTCAATGCCAGTCGCTTGCTACAAACCTAAACAATGGTCTAACATCAGAATCAAACTGAGAAATAGTAAATGTTGGAAGATTACGATATTCAGTAATCATTAAAATTATTGGCTGAGGTTACGCACGATTTTCCATGGATTATTTTTTCATGATACATTTACAAATACGAAAAAACTGAAGGCCAAACTCAAGTTTGTTTCTTGAGCGGTACTCGCTGGATGCAGTGCTTTTTTTTTTTTTTTTTTTTACCACACGGGAATTTCATAACCTTGCAATTTGCTGTTTGGTTGTTTTATTTTGGAAGTCAGAAAATCGCAAAAAACCTCCCGGGGGCTCCCAAAGTCGCTTCCTTTATATTTTTATTTTTCCACTTCCGGACCGGAAGAGCTTAGAAAGAACACACATTAAGTATATAAAAAAAAAATTGAATGAAAATAACACAAAATTTCAAAGAATTATTTTTACAAAATAAATTAAAAAAAAAAAAAAAATTGAATGCCTAATTCTATTTTTTTTTTTTTGCGGTTCTCGCTTGATTTATTTCTTTTTTTTTTTTTTTTTTTTACCACACGGGAATTTCATAACCTTGCAATCTGCTGATTGGTTGTTTTATCTTGGAAGTCAGAAAATCGCAAAAAACCTCCCGGGGGCTTCCAAAGTCGCTTCCTTTAGATTTTGATGTTTCCACATCCCAAGAAAGAAACAGACAAATGTACAGTTAGATTTTTCCAGAGGAAAAACCGCAACCATGCCATTATTAATTTTGATAGCCTGCGTTTCCTTAGTCGGCTACACAGCCGTTCTTTGTGTCGTCACGCAACGCGGACGACACAAAGAAGACAGCTGTGTAGCAGACCAACGTTTCCTACGCTGTTTTTTGACACTTGAAACAGTTAGTACTGTCAACTGCCTATGATTAGGGAAGTTATGACTAAATAAACAGAGAAATGCACTTAGCATTTTGACTGGACGTCGTAACGCGAAACCTGTATACATGTACTCAGGAGTATCCGATCACCTCGCCACCAAACCAGCTCGCCATCAAGAAATACATATCTTAATGTAAGTCCCAAGTATTCACAAAAAATAGAACTAAACCATTAGTTAATCATGCCTCAAAAACATTTTTCTGTGAATGACCACATCGCAATCCTTGGCACATGTATATTATTATTCATTCAATATATTTTTTTGGTTTCTGATTGGCTAAAATCACGTGTGTAATTCATAATTCATCCTACTGTTGAACAAATTTGCAAGAATTTTGCCATATTGAACCGATGACGTCAAAAGTGCAGCAAAATTGCAGATTATTGAACCGTTAACCAAGAAGACCTGGGGACGAGTTGGGGACGACCTGTCTTAAGATGGGGACGAGCTGTCTTTAGAGTTATCATGTAATGGCGAGATGACCCTACTCAAGGTAATATCCCACCTAATCTCCTTAAGAAGTGAAACTGAAGTCTCAGAAGTCAGTCTTCTTTCAAGCCACTTCACACACTTGGCCTGTACCTCTGTTTCACAGTACTGAGTAGCTGCCGCATGATATGCACAAACTGTAGCTCTGTTTATCGTTTCTATCATAGCTTCAGCACACTGCTGAGACAAGCCTTCCTACAGAAAAAAAGAATAATAATAAATATCAAGATCAATGATTTTTAGGCCCTATCCACACTAATGCGTTTTCATTAGAGAACCAGCGTGCAAAGAAAATAGTGTCCGATAGCCCGGGGCTAGTGGATTTTGCTATCGGGCTAGTGATTTTTGTTCTTAACTTGCCCGACGGGCAAGTGTTTTTTTGGGGGGGAAATTCAAATTACAGAAGGATTGTAATCCCGCTAATCAAAAGGGGTTTGGGGGCTAGTTGAAATGACTTGTGGGCTAGTACATGCTAGCTACAGCTTGCCCAAATGACAGACTGTAAAACTGACTTTCTTTGCACCCTGAGAACGCATACCTTTCAACGCGTTTAGGCCTTCCATCCACACCAATATGCTGAGCGTTTTCATCTAAAACCTATCTTTTTAAAAATGCTCTTGAAAGTGGATCAAAATGAAAACACAAACAGGTTGTATAAGTGTGGACGGGTCGAAAGCGCATAAAAATGAAAACGATGACCGAACATATCACAGGCTCGTGTGTTTGTAGCATGCACAGAGAGTTCAACTTACATCACAACGTACAGTTCTACCGTTTTCTAACGTTTTAGTGTGAACAGTCAAAAACGCATCAAAACGGTAGTGTGGACGCGAATAGATCGATGCGTTTGAATGACAACGAAAATGCAAACGCATCAGTGTGGACAAGTACTCTCAATCTTTTTACTTTTCACATACTCCACTTTTTCTCCTTTTCCTGTTTCTGTCTAATGCAACTTTGTTTCTAACAAAAAATGATAAAAAATCAACAAGAGGTATACAGTCAATTTTCTGGAGGCAAATGGAATGGGTCAGTCTAGCTTCCTTTATCCCTTCCTGTGGAGAATTTCCATTCCAACCAAGAAAAACAGTCATCTTAAAGACAGTTATTTTTTCTGTCAAAACGTTGCAGTTAGAAAACGGCGAAGCTGAGACCTCTGGAAATTTTAGTTGTATGGATCCTACCACAAAAATTCAGCGCAGGTGGCAAAATTTGAGACTAAACCTTTTTAAGCCCCAATACCGACAGACAAATTCTCCACAATGATCTCCATACATTCCTTTAGATGAGAGAATTTGTTTTGAAATCAAGCACTTCCCCTCTAGAGATCATTTTGCAATTCTCATAACCTTTCTACTTGATTATGTACTGATATTGTTGGAGGAAATTTTTTTGATGTTGGTCACTCCTGGGACTCAAAGGGTTTAAAATGTGGATTGTACATTGTACTGACCAACTGGAGTAAGTTTGCTGCAGCCAGAAGAGGAACCACTTTAACGGGAGAAACCATAACTTCATCACAGTACAGAGAGCCAAATGCTGTGTTCAGTGCTGTTGAGATAAACATCAAAATACACAGTGCCACCAGGTAGTGTTGGTTGCATCTACATGTACAGAGATTCCAACCCCTAGAGATCTAAACCTTGAAGACTGTCTCTTCAGCAATAACCCCCAACATCAACCACCCCACCCTCCATTCACACAAATCAACCCAGTCCCTAAATTGTAATGTCAGGGTTTGGCACAGGAAATTATATGAAGTCTTACATGAGAAACAAATTAGCAAAATTTGCTATATTTTCCCTAAAATAGTCTTTAAGTAATGAGATGTGTAAAAACAATGCCAAAGAAACTAACTATGATCAAATGAATTCCAAACTAAGGTACAGGAATGCACCAAATTCAATTTTATTGAGGAGAACGGGTGACCCATATAGGAGGCGGGGGTATTTGTGCCATATCTGGCAGAGCTGGCATACATGATGTAGGAGGGTAGCTTTAGTTTTGTCAATTCCCGCAGTTAGGTGTTTGCAGATGCAAAAGCTGCCGGTAAAGAAGGATTTAGTCTAGAGATGTAGAAAAGATAATTCACACAGTTATTTCTTGAGTAATATTACCTTCAACATCAATATTTTCATCTGGAATTTCCATTGTAATATGGTCTGCAGTAGATTCCTTCCATGATCCATTGAACATACTTTGAAAGTATGCAGACTATGACAAAAAAAGAGAGCTTCAAGTTCAAAAGGGCCACATAAGGTAACTCAATATATAGTACAGTGGAACCTTGATATAACAAAGGGCAAAGGGACAGGCAAAATATGTTCACTATAATGAGGTTTCGTTAAATCAAGGTTCTTTTCCATATATTTTACTATTACTGGGATTAAAAATACAGTTAGCTATACAGAGGACTTATTTGTTATATAGAGGTTTGTTATATCCAGGTTCCACTGTAAGTACAAGTGTCAGCTTGCACATTTCCTTAAGCCGTAATTTACCCTACCTAAAAAACCAGGAGGTTGTTTGTGAATTCCAGTGCCATGGACTTCAGGCAAAAATTGAGATGCAAGCAGTAGAAAATAACTACGAGAATGTGCTGTTTGCTCGCCAACTTAACTGAAAAAGCATCACTGTTGTGGAAAGACTCCCAAACAAAAATCACCATGGAGTGCAGAAAAGAGCATGTTCACAACGTCTGACACCCAGCAGGAAATGCAGAGTTCAGAAACATTCACTTTGTTATGAAAACAAGTATTTTACATAATTATCTGTTTTCTTTCAATTCATTTAGAAAAAATGGGATGGCCAGTCAATGGAAATGCTTTAACAGCAGCTTCTGCATTTTGCCTTTTTTTTCTTCAAAATTAAAGTAAATTAATAAAGTATATTACATTACTGATGACATATAAAATGAGATGTTAAAGAAAAAAAACAGGGGAAGGAGATTTTACGGGCATGGCCTCACTTATTATTTGAAACATACCTGGCACATATAGATTCTGTGAAGTTTCCACTCTTTTCCTTTAACATAGAAATAAGGATATGCAGTACAGAGTTAACAAAAACAGATGAAACTAACAAAGTTTCCAGTCTAACAAATTTTATGAACTTTAAAGTGTGGCCATTTAAATTGAAACTCAGTACTTTTGCATACCCCATAATGTACAACAAGGTTTAATTTGGTATGTCCTTTTTAAAATAGAGAAACGGAAGGGAAGGGTACTCTTAAAGTTCCTGAAATAGGATTCCTCTTGACATGCGAAAGAAGGACACAGCTGGCACATTTAAGAACGCTCTTAAAAAATATTTTTTAGCCTAGTTCTTATGTGTATATATGTTTTCATATTTTTAAATTCTAACGTACATATCTCTTTTTCTTACCTTATAGTATTTTTAAATTCGCTTTGTTTATCTTTAGTTAGTAGTTTTTACTATCGTGATTTAGGATTGTATCTTGTAGTATTTTTAAATTTTTATTCGTCATGTCCATTTTTATCAGTTCTAAATTTTTTAATTACGATTGAGGGCCAGTAGTTCATCAGTGTTTACTGTCATGTGTTACACTCATTAAATAAAGTTGCTACCTACCTACCTACCTATACCATAAACTGCCACTTATGACCCTCAGGCTTATACATGTACATCTTCATAAGGGGTTTTAAGACCACCGCGGTCAAACGTCTAAATCGTTATTTTTGTTTTCTACTGCTGGGATTTCATTTACCAGTTAGAGAAAAATGGGCGAAGATGTATAAATCTGTTAGTCAACATAACTATCTTTCCATTTTTCTCAAAATTTTGAGCTTTTTTCGCTGACAACGCTTCGCGCTAAAAGAGAATTATGTTTGAAAATGGCGCCGATAATAACGTCAGCATCGGTTTTCAATCACTTAGAACTTTTTTAGTAAACTTTAAAAACGTTTAGTAAACTAACAGGATGTTGGTAATACCTTAATTACTTTCGATAGTGAAAGTAGCAACCTTAACTTTGAAGTATTTCGCTTAACTTTTGCAAATTTCACTCGTTTGACCGCTGTGAAGGTTTTAAGAAGGCTTGTACACAGAGGGGCTTGTAATCGGAATAAAAAAGGGCATTGAAACAATCTATAGCGGTGCTGATCAAAACGAATTTTGAATTTACTGGTTTTTAACCCTTTAAGCCCCAATATCCACATATAAATTCTCCATACTGACCTTCATACATTTCCTTAAAAAAATAGTTGAGAGAGTTTGATAGCAGATCAAAGCATTTTTTCTTTGGTGATCATTTTATCAACTCTCATAATCATTTCTCTTGACAACATATGGATATTGTTAGGAGAAAATTGATGTTGGTCACTATCAGGACTTAAAGGGTTAATAAGCTTTACAATGTCATAAATTGAATTCATTTTAATACAAGCTAAATGAGAGAGCAGCATTTTAGTGTATTACCAGACAGACTGTATTCAGTAATAATAAAAATTTATCAGTTTCTAAAGGCTCCACTCAAGGATCATTTTTTATTCACAAATTACTAGCTGGCATCTAAACTTATCACAATCATCATTCTTTGATAGTTGCAGTCTACTTTTTAAGTTTGCGTGTTTTGAATTAAATTTGATTCAAGTGAGGCCTTATATACTTACCTAGAGCATGTATTGTAACATCGCTTCCTTCTCCATCAAGGAAGAGGGTCTGATAAATATAGTCACAAGTGCCTTTCAATTTTTTTCTGAAAGTTTAACAGTCACATTAGAGAGATAACCACCCATATTCACTCTTAGGAAATGAGAGTAGTCTAATTTTACAGAAATTAACTAGAAAAGTAGCCAGCAAAAACAGCCGTTTCTCCTTGCTCCTTGCCGCTGGGGACGTTTTGCCAGGAGGAAGGTCTGCAACTCAGCAACAGAAATTGCACACTGATGACATTAATCAATGCTTGCATAATAAATCTGGTAGTCATGGCGTTTCAAATGCAATATGTTCGATTTTACGTTTCTCCTGGTCAATTTTGGTAAGTGTTGTATTCATCTGTGAATGAGCTCCAGCAAAAGTGAAATGCTTCATCTAGAGAAGAATATATTCCAGAAATATTGACTGTTTTGTTATAGATTCATTGCATTTACATTTGACCTATGTAGCCTTTTGTCTGCCATTCTCAACCAATCACTAAAACAATGTGTTCTACTCCGTTGACCAATCAGCGCTTCTGACCGGATTCCGGACAGATTTTATGTCGTCAGTATGGAATTTCTGACACTGAGTCACAGACATTTCCTCCTCGCTAAACATCCTCAGCAGCAACGCGCGACCAGAAACAGCTGTTTTCACAGGCTACTGGATAACTATGTCAGTTGTACAATTTGGATTTAAACAAAGTTTTGATAATGAAAACATATTAAAAAAGCGTTGAGAAAACTGATGAAAATTACTATTTCTCAGCATTTAGACTGGTGATAAATAAGCCAAACCACCGTTCTTTGTCGCTTATTCTTGGCTTTTCCATCACTGTCTCAATTTGGCTGAGGGAGGTTGTCTCTTGTCGCGATTTCATTTTACGCTCTGTCGCTACTTTTTGGGTCGTGTCGCTTGTCGGAATTTACCCTGGCAGGGCCTCAAATAAGGTTATGACAAACTACCCACACATAGGCCTTCCCTAGCCCAACATTTTAATTTTAACCCGTGCTCCCTCAAACTTCCTTTATATCTATGACAACACATGGTCTCTAAATGTATTTCCAGGGTACCAAACATTTTGCTGTATGTGCAAAAATAGTTAAGCGTTAGCCTGGGAAAACAGCCAAAATTTTGCGCTGCCTTAACTGCTTTCCCCGCGAAATGTGTATGATGTTACGTAAGTTATTTGACGACTGCCAACGCAGCTTCTCAAACTGTATATAACATGGCAGATGTTCTAAAGTTTAGCAAAGTATGCACTCTTTGGAAAAATATTAGCTCTTTCTTTGGCTACAATCTGTGAAGGTAACATAGGAACATTCACCTCTTCACTACATCTACCACTGCCTCCTCGTCAGTCTGACTTCCATCCTCATCTTCGCATTCAGAGTGTTTTCTTTTCCTACCTGCTGATGTGCCTAATGACGATATTGTTGAGCCCATAGCTTAAAGCGGTCAAAAAGGCCCAAAATGGCAGCATTTAGCTCGCTAGGTACGACAACAGCGTCAAACGACCAACAGCCGCCATGACTGTTTACAATCCCAGAATGCCACACGCTTCTCTCTTTCCTTGCAATGGTTTATGGGAAGTAAGTTCAGTTTTCCACATGTGGTTTGTGAGGGTTTGTGAAGGCCTTGTGAAATTGGTGAAAAAAATTGGATTTTTCTTCATCTTGAAAAGTCTTAAATAGCAAGGTGAGGTGTATTTTATAATCTTTCAAAAAAAATGACCACTGTAAATGAAGTTAATCTCGAAAATTTGTGTTGAATAGACCGGTTAACATGGTTAAGGCGACTTGTTTTGTAAATGCAAACAAATGACTGGTGAGCTGTCGTCGGAAATGTAAATTGTCTGAGAAAATCTGGGCGAATTTGAAATATTGTTTCCCAAAGTAAATGCTCTGCTTTATTCAACAAGAATGTAAGATTTACATTTTAGCGTGGCTGAGTATAAAGTCGACGGTACGCGTGTAATTCTGTAATACTTCAGTAGTACAACTGCTTTTAGTGGAGCAATTCACATAATTGGACAGTGCATCAGTCAGAAACCTGAAAATCTATTATGCATGCCTTTTCATTACTGAAATGTCTTCAGTTTACTGGAATTGCAGAAAGCTATGAGAGCATTGCATGCATGAGTAAGAACAAAATTACTGATTATTGATATTGATCTGTCAATGGCCGTTCAGTTTATGTGATATCTGCAATCTTTTCTTTTATTTCAATAAATATTTATCAAGGAACATCCAATTTAGCAGAGCTAGTTTAAATGGAGCCCCAAAGGACTCATGGCACAGGAGCCATGTTGTTTTGTCTCTAGTGGGAGGGGAGGGAGAACTTGCCAAGTTCTGCATTATCTTGCTTATAATGCAGGGATATCTTTGGTTGTCACAGGAGAATCCTCGTTCCTTGTTGCCTCATTAGCATATGCTATTTATTCTCTGACAGAAGTATATAACCCTGAAGAGTATAACTCTGTTCCAATGCAGGGGTTTTTTGGAGAACTGATCAAAATTTTCCTCTTAATTAATAATATGGAATTACTGTTAAAAAAATGGAATTATTGATACACAAGACGGTAGCGCACGTGCTTAAAAAAGCATTGCATAGTGATGTAAACGAAGCGCTACAAAAAGCTCAAAGGGCAATTACAGTTTTACAGAGTGGAAATAGAATCAATAATGATTGTCAATTCAAAGTTTCTTTTCAGATCAAACTCCCCACCTGAGCTGATCCCCCCCCCCACCCCACCTCTTGCTTTGGGAATAACATTGATAAGTGCATTGAATTAGCACATGTACATGTACTAACCATTACAGGTCACTGTTTCTGCTATACTGCGGTGCTCCTATCCAGAATATTATTGATCCCAGAATTCATTGAATAGACTTTTGTTACTGTTGGTTTTACTCTGTCATGAGGCAAAGCACTCAATCACAGTTTTTTGAGTTCCAGAGTTGATGATGCTGACCTACAAATTTTGGACCATACTGGGTACAAAATATATAGAATGTGATTTCAGATAATTTTTGCAAGCTCTAACATTAACAATATATATATATATATTTTTATCCCTGTCACGTAACCCCTGGTGTCCGTATAAAGCAGGCATCCATAAAGCAGGGTTTGACTGGATTATTTTTATTATTTTTTTGCTGCAGAGTGAGACCAAAAGTGTATTTAATTTGTAAGTATAAGTACTGTAAAATTCCGAAAATAAGCCCCTCCATGTATAAGCCGCTCCAAATATAAGCCCCTCAAACTTGTAATGCAAAAAATCCTCCATTAAATCGCCCCAGGTTTATATTCGGGGGCCCCCGAACATGAACCTTTAACGGGAGTTTATGTTTCATTTTGTTTCGTTTTTGCCATTTAAATGAAGGTTGATATTCCGATCGGGTTAGCTAAAACTTTGCCAAATTTCCCTCTGAATATAAGCCCCTCAAAAAGGGCCTTTGAAAAATATAAGCCGCGGGGCTTATTTTCAGAATTTTATGGTATATGTTCAGGCCATTTCAAAGGATTGTAGAAACAACAGGGTGTGATCAGGACCATCATAGAGCCCTTTGAATTTGCCTTGCTTAGTATGTCATTTATTTTTGTCTTCTAGCTGATCAGTGTTTTTTTTTTTTTTTATCCAGAGATTAAGTAAAGCCAAAAGTGCCAGCAATCATTTTTCTGCTGCTATAAAATCTTACAGTTCAAGTATATCAAAATATCTGTCCCTTGCTTAAATTTTATTCTACTATGGCAGCTGTAGGAGACAACATCGCTGATTCTGAAAACAAGACCAACTTGATCATCAACTACATTCCACAAAGTTACAGTGATGCAGAATTTAAGGCCCTGTTTCAACAAATTGGCCCGACCAAATCCTGTAAGATTTGCAGACACAAAGCAACTGGATACAGCTATGGCTTCGGGTTTGTGGAATACTTCACCCCTGAACATGCTCAGTCAGCCATAGACAAACTCAATGGCTTTCAAATAGAAAACAAGTTCATAAAGGTTGCTTTGTCAAGAAAAGGAGGGGAGAAGATCAAAGGTGCAAACCTTTATGTTCGGAATATTCCAAAAACGTGGACTGCTGAAGATCTGAAGGTATTATTCACTCCCTATGGCAATATCGTCAACAGCAAGATCCTGACAGAACCAATGACCGGTGCATCAAAGGGTGTTGGCTTTATTCTTTACGATTTGAAGTCAGAGGCTGAAGCTGCCATTGCAGCTGTAAATAACACTATGCCTTCTGGAGCAACAGAGATAATGTACGTTCGTTTTGCTGATGACAATACTTCTAAACTGAAGCCACCACCTGGAGCTGCTCCTAGTATGCCTCAGCGACCAAGTTTCGATCTCGGTCCTCAACAGCAGCAAGGGGCAATTGGACCCATGGGACAGGCTATGATGAATCGTCGTGCCAACCGATTCAATCCCATGTTCGGAGGATCCCAGATTCCTCCCCCATCTGGGTTTGCCCCAATGTCGTACTCTGGGGGTGGTGGCAGTGGCGTTACTTTGTTTGTTTACAACATTGGTACCAAGGCAACTGAAGCTGCAGTTTATAGACTCTTTGCACCATATGGTGAAATAAAGAAGATCAATGTGATGTGGGATTGGGAAAGAGGACAGTGCAAAGGATTTTGCTTTGTTACCATGGGTACAATTCAGGAAGCTCAAAATGCTATCCATGCACTAAATGGCTTTACATATGACCAGCAACCTCTGCAAGTAAAGCTGAAAACACCAAAGATGTGAAATTCACCTTCCTTTGTGCTATGTGGTACAGTGCAACACATTAATTTCCTAGTTTAAAAAAACACACTGTATTTATTATGTAGTGTTTTTCCTTCCAATAATATTTTTTACCTGTATAGTTACTGTTTCAGCAAATGAACAATATTTCTGACATCATCAAAATCTGCATGCCATGTGGTACAAAATTTTTGCAGATAATCAATTTTTGGTGTGTTGTGGGAAGAGTGGTTTTTCTCACTGGAGATTTAATTTTTGCTATTTTTTAGAAAGCCACATTCACGTGGACTGATAACATTTTAATGTTTTAATTAAGCAAACACCATTTTTTTGGTATGTACAGTGGAGTTGATTTCTGGGAAAATGTTTGCGGTATTTTTTTTGTGTGGGAAGTTCTTTTGTAGATTATGGGGGGGAAAAGAAAATTTGAACCCACAAAAATTTAGAGCCACAAGGTATGTTTGAGCATTGTTCAACGAACCCCAAGACAGTTGTTGTGGAATAAGCTATCTACATTGTATTACCAGAAAGAATTTATTATAGAGACATCATATGGAGTTAAGACAGTCAGTAGAGCAAATCTGGTTTAATAAGATATTGCTTCAAAAAATCAGAATGGCTCATATAAGATGAAATGGATGGCTGTGTAAAGACAGTGGACAACATAGGCTTATTTTATACATGCCATAATTAAGACGACTGAGATTATTTACCAAGTTACCTTAGTTTTTGTTTTTGACCTCTTGCTTGTTTCTACGAGACTGTCGTGGTTAAATACATGTATCTCTCTTAGGATTATCATGAGCAGGGCTGTCACTAATATTTCACGTTGCCCAGTATATGCAGTTAGTAGACAGTGAATTGAATGGAAGTTCTTTTGGTTCCATTTTCTTTTTGTTTCCTATATGAAAGTAGCCAGGGGTCATGCTCATAGTAGCCATGGGAAATCCCCTGCCCCCACCCCTTGGTGACAACCCTGATGAGGCCACATGTTTTTCTCATGTAAATTTGTAACTTCCCACTGTAACATTGCCTTGAAAAACAAAGTTTGAGTTGTATTTTGCATTGACTTTCTCTTAAACATCGTTAATCAAACCACTCATCCCAGCCTTTGTCAAATGTACTACTACAGTCAGCTCTCTCCCATGTGACAACTCTTAACTGTTATTACCTGTCAGCACCCCAGATCAGTATTAAACTTTTGTGTCACTCAGGTTATGATTGTCTTATGATCATACGTGATCAAGCCAGGTGGTTTCTTACTGGAAACAAATTTGAGAGTGTTTGAAACAGTGTTTACCTGGGAAACAAAAGGGCTATTACAAAGTGGTTGCCTATAATAATCGGTCAATGTGAAAGAATTCATTGTAGTTTCAATTGAACCCCTGTTAACTGAAACTGTTCTTGAGTTAAACAAGCCCAGGTGCCAGTTGTTCAAAAGGTGGATAGTGCTATCCACTGGATAGCGCAATTGGTTTCCCCAATACTCATCCACTGGATAGCGATTTGTCTGGTGGATAGCGCTATCAATCTTTTGAACAACTTACTGGGGCAAGCATTTGTAAATTATCTAATATTTTTTGTCATCTAGTGTGTTTGCTTATTTGTTCATATAATGTGCCTTTAATTTTACCTCAGTCCTACTGCAATATTTTTGTAAACATCCACTTTACCAAATTTACAAGGTTCTTTAAAATCAGGGGTCAATGTAATAAAACTTTACAAGTGTAATTTACGAGTGCAGCAAGTTGCTTTAGAGTCTGAAAACAATAGCTACACTTGTAAATCACAATTTTGTAAAAGTTTTCTTAAATTGACCCCAGGACAGGTGTTAAGTGCCATCACACATCAAATCTAAAACACAGTGTTTTTGGCTTCTGAAATCTGTCCTTACAATGAAATAAAGCCTGCTAAATTGACCAAAAAGTGTGTGCATTAACTGTACGATGAAGTAAAAGTTTTTCACCCGCCAGGTTCTTACGGATGGGTGTTTAGTGTTTACTGAATACCTTGAAATTTTTCCCAATTACCGCAGTTACATCTGCTTATTAAAAAGCCAGGAAGCTAGCTTTTCTGTCCTTGGTATCGACGACCTGAATGACAGGTAGGATGGATGTCAGCAACTGAGAATACGATGAAAGGCTAGTCCTCAAAACATTTGCTTCTTTATCTCTCCATGGTGGCCAAATTTACAATTACCAAAACTAGTAAGAACATTTTTGTTCCTCTCTAATCAAATGCAACACTGCAACTTCTTTGGAAACTAACCCTTTAATTTGATTGAACAATTTAGTAAAAAAAAAAATTAAGAAGTGAATATTGTACTAATCTACAAAAGAATGATAATAATACAGATCTGAGCCGTCAATAAGGGCCAGGGGTCAGGGCTTTCCTCCCACTACTATAAGCTTGATCCCTGGCTACTTTCTTATGAAACAAATACAGAACCAAACATCGTTTAATTCCCTGCCTACTTATTGCATATGACCGGTAACTCAAAATCTTAGTGATATCCCTGCAGATTAAGCATTTGCACAATAAAATAAATTCATCTGCAAGTACATGTATCATGTTCGTTTTAACTTATCATGTACACCTTGACTACCATTTTCATTATCCTGGGGTCAGGAAGTCAAAATACCATTGATAACCTCCAGTAATATTGGTAAGCATGTAATGTACAGATACTCTGCCGAGGACTATCCCATCAAAATCTGTACATAAAAAATTCAAGTTTCTGACAATGTATACTTGGAACCTGTTTGGAACCTGAAATTTCATACAGGAATGGTTGTGAACTCAAGATTCCTTTTCGCTTCCTGACTTCTTAGTAAAATATAGTTTTTCTGTTGCTTGATTGACAAAGTCCCTGTTCTAGGCAGCTACACTTCTAGAAACCATAAGTGAACCTTATCTCCACCACCTGTTGCACACACTGGTAAAGATGGATGCCAGGAAAGACCTCCACCTACAGACATCTGACACGAAACTGGCATCTGTTAAATAAAAGAGTGACAAGTCAGCTAGATGGGCAGGAAAGATGTCCGGGGGCAACATATTTAGTAATAGAATGGGGATGAGCCGCTAGATGGGGACGCATTTTTGGGACAGGATTTACTATTTATAATGGGATTACATTTTCAATAGTTACTAGAATGGTGCCAGGTAGCACATTTTCAGGATTTTGAGGGTAAGAAAATTCTGGTAAACAGGGTTTTAAAATTGGGAAGATTTGTGGTTAAAAAAAGTGACAGAAAGTGACTAAGTTGGGATTGTGAAAATTATATTTGCCCAAAAGTGACTAAGCCACAGAAAAGCCTGTAAGGGGGTAGGGGTTCTGAGACACCAGCTGCGCCACTAAACTTGTACTCTTCAACTATTACAGCCTTTTCTTCAAAACTGCATCATCACAACTCGTCGATTTTGGTGGAAAATAATCATATCTTGTAGCTCAAAAATTTATCTTTGATGATTATATTACATATTGTAATTCCTTATAAAAAACTAACTTTGTGATGTTCCATGTGGTAGACATTAATGTGGTTACCGGGGCGGCCAGTTGTTGCAAACAGGTTTTCATGTACATTAGACCACCTGTGGTAAGAAGCAAACAAAACAATATTCATTCGCCTGGCTGTATAATTCATTTTTAATAGGCCATAATTATTTTGCACGATGGCGTCATTTTACTGCTACTCCCAGAATCCTTTTTGTTTTGCCTTTCATCCCTTTTCCTTTTTTCCAGCAATGTTTAAATAACAAAAGCCCTAATGTGCACAATTATAAAGCAAAACCCTGGTCATAGAGGTAAAAATATGATGTTATCCAGCAAACAAACTTTTCTTGACCCTTTAAGTCCCAAGAGTGACCAACATCCATTTTCTCCCAACAATGTTAAAACATAATTAAAAGAAAAGTTTATGAGAATTAATAAAATGATCACCTAAGGGAAAATGCTTCGATCTTTGAACAAATTCTCTCAACTAATTCTGTAAGGAAATGTATGGAGATCAGTTTGGAGAATTTGAATGTGAATATTGGAGCTTAGAGGGTTAAAAGCTCATGCCTTTGGTGATTACAAAGGACTGTCAACCGGCGGGTAGTCAAGGCTGTACTGTAGCAGCACTGCCCGGTGGCCCCTGGCACCTGACTTTGCGCTCAAGCAACAAGAAGATCTTAGTTTTACATAGAAATCATACATTGGGCACCCCGGCTACCTACAAATTTTTGTTGTTACGTTGTATGGTCCAGTTTGTAAACCATATAAACTGTTAATGATGTACAGCTGTACGTGCTGGTAACTGGAGAAAGTAGCAAGGTGTATTATTTTGTTACCTAAATTTGCACACCCCATCTGGATGAGCCTGTTCGGTAGCCTCAGGCAAACTGTAACAAGAACAGAATGTGGATAATGGACAAATAATGGTAAAATTAAGGTAAAAATAAGTATGCATATCAAGATCTTAGTATTTTCCTCCTGCTGTCTTCACATAAATTGCTTAGTGGGTTTAGTGCCAGCCAAAGGCATTTGTGAATTGTATCATTATTATCTATCAATAAGATATTTACAAATAGCTGCACACAAGACAGAAGAAGCACAAGAGAGGGATATGGACATCATCCCTCACATTTCACATTCTATATTAAGCTAAAGTAATATATCTTGTGGATCCCTTCAGTTGTTAAAACCTTATAGAAAAAGGTTAAAAGTTTGTTTACAGTGGAAAGTGCACTTAGCCTCATTTTATACTCAGCTAGTTTACAGGCACTCCACTCAATTATTAGAAAAAAAAAATCCAAATAGAACATAACAGGATTAGAAAACCCCAACTGGTAGGAGGCAAGCAGTTGGCTACGTGCAAGTGTGGCCAAGGTTTTTGAACTCCTGACAACCCAGAACAAATCCAGCAAGTTGCCAGAGAGGGACTTGAACCCAGGACGCCAGGATTGAAATTTCGACATGCTGACCACTCAGTACGCTGAACACTTGACGCGCTAACCACTCAGCTATACTGCCTCGTAATAATGATAATTATTAACCCATTCGCCCCTGAGCCCCCCATAACCCCCCGTGTGGATCCACTTCCTTTCTACTGCTTCAGACCTCATCAGTTTTGATTGTCAAGGATAACTTTGTCCGCTAACTTGTGCAGAGTGCAGAGATCTTTCAAACCATACCAGAATGAGCACAGTTCAGACAAGGACACCAGAGAAAAAAGGCAAAAAACAATGTAACATTGACTTGAAAAGATCTATGAAAATGTTGTTCCACTACCCACCTACCTTTCCTTTCATCTAATCCTAAGGTCCTAAAAGCTTTTCACATCAAAATGAAGCCTACTACGTGCCCAGCAAGAGAAAAACAAAAGAGGCAAGAAAAGAGAGAAAAGAGGGGGAGAGAAAGCGGAAAATAATAGTCAAGATTGCTGTGTCACTTTTAAACCCAAAAACTATCTCAAAATTTTGCTTTCTGCACATGCCCGAACTGCGCAAGCTAATATTTTACATCTGGATCAGAAGACTGCAAAGTGTACGACCTGTAAATGGCCTTGTGGTAAGTTTTAGCTCTTTATATAGCACAACAGTCACCAGAAAACCGCTCGGCTAGCTTCAAAATGCATTACTCGGCAAAATCTCCAGGGGCAAATGGGTTAATCATAACTATGACAAAATTCTCAAATTTGATTGGCTATCAACTGCCTTGATTTCAGCACTAAATAGGACAGTGTAATAGGATAATACATGTCATACCTGGTAAGTAATTGGACAGTATACGCCATCGCACACACTCGTGCACTTAAATGGCTTTTTTCACTGCCAGCCAAAAAACTCTTGGAATTTCCTGTGTTTTAATTTAATAGTTATCATGTAGTGATTAATTGGTAACAGAACTTCGTATTGTCCAATAATTTGGTCTGTAATCATACTCAAGATTAAACAAATCGGACTCCTGCTATGCGGTCGTATGATCGTCCGATTTTGTTAATCACTCATATGATTACAAACCGAATTGGACTTAACCCAGTCCTATTAATAATAATAATAATAATAATAATAATAATTCTCCCATTTTACGCACTGTTATTTATAAAGCCTACACAGACCAACACACCTTGATTTGGACATGTCCCAAATGAGCCAGTCATCTCTTGCAACAGCCCCGACCTTCAGATCATTTGTTGAGCACCAGTCAGCAGAGATCAGAGGGAGCTGTTCTGTGCTCAGTGACATGATGGGCTGTTGGCTGACCAAGTCGTAAAATCGAACAAGGCCATTCTTTTGTGCTACCATCAGCTGTTGGATAACAGAAAGATCAACTTAATAAAGAATTTGTTCTAGAGTGAAGTGATGGAACAAAGAGGGTGCATTCAATAGGCCACTTCGAAAAACTGCATAATACTCTCAAATTGCCATTTGGGTAGTGCTTCGTGTAAATGCGTTCAAATTACCCTTTGATCTTTGCACGAACTGCAAGTGCAATGACCAACTTCCAAAAAGAAACATACTTATCTATAATGGGTAATTATTCTGGTCTATTTTGTTATAATGGCACAATAAAAATTCAGAGTACACTTTAGAGGCTTTCACTAGAACCTGTAGCTGATTAAAAGAGTGCTCCTTCCACCTCACTTCTCTCATTGCTGCACCCTATTAAATTTTAAGAAAACTTAGGTACTGGTCTATGTTGAACCTTAGCAACATTGTATTTGTATGCATATACACTTAGTGAGCAAATTTTTGAAACTGACGCACTGCACCTGCAAATCGTGCACAAAAGATAATGCAAAAGTGAGGTATAGATATGAAGCCTTCCCAAACATATTACATTATTGTATTTTTCAGAGTGGCCTATGCCACAAATGAAAATCAGCAAATACTACTTCATCCTTTACCTAGCCAAATAAAGGAATGCCAAAAAATAATGAATCCTACAAGTCTTCAAGGTACTAGGAGTTGTATTGTTTGGTTCTTTTGTTTTCACACAAAAATTATCCATACCCTGGTGACGGCATACAGGACATGACAAACCCTTTTGAAGGGGTATGTCCAAACTATCAAGCACTCTTGATCTGATGTCAAATTCTCCCGTCCTTAGTATTCCTTTGAAGGTAATTTGTAAACAGAAACTATTGTTTATCAGAAGCATTTTTCCCAACCATGCCTTCATCTTGTTTCAATCTTTTCCCAAGGCTTTAGGACAAGTCATTAAGAAAACTGCTCCAACAACACTGCACGAAGTATGATTAGATTATACTATTTATACTAATTATTTTATGTTTTAGAGATTTGACTTTCGTACCTTGTTTGGTTCACGAAGATGCCACTTTACACTCACTCCGGCAGAGCTAAGGGGAATGCAAGTTTTCTGTGTTCCAGTCTCTAAATCCCACAGTCGACAAGTGTGATCATCTGCACAATAAAATCCATTAAATATCATGTTGATATTCATAAGTATACTAATAGGATAGTTAACACATTGATTATTTTGACAGCAACTTGAAATAATTGAGTAAAACTATACATTGAAACCCTTTTTTCCAAAGGAAAAAAAGCAAGCCTTTGCTTAAATAAATACCCATTAAACTCCCAGATGAGGTCAGAAAACAGATCATTGCTATTACTTACCACTGACACTAGCAACTTCAAGACCAGAAACTGGCTCAACAACACAGTCATTGATGTAACTTAGATGTCCTTCCAAAAGTGTTACTGTTGATGAGTTTCTACCATCGGACACATAGTAGCGTAGCTTTTTGTCATCCCCTGCCGTACAAAACCTAAGTGAAAGCAAACTTTCTATCAGACAATAACAAGGTAGAACTTTCATTACAAAATCTAAGATTAACTTTATTTATAATGGAAAAACATGGTCCCTTAACCATGGGATTTCCCTCGGCTAACATAAGCCTTGCCCCCAGCTGCTTTCAGGAGAAGCAAAAGGAAGATAGAATCGTAGAACCAAAAGGACTTCCAAGCTGGTCAATTCCCTGCGTACCAGTAATGCATATACCGTAAATCCTCTATAAGCATCCCCTCTCAACTTCTAATAAGCCCCCACCTTTTCAGTGGAAGAAAATTAATAAGCCGTCTCTCTCAATTACGCCCCCATCCTCTGCCCTAGTTATTCTTCACTAATAAATGATAGACTGTATTAATAATCAGTCACGACCGTAACACTTTGTGTGGACTGATCCAGGATGGTTTAATTACCAACTGGAAGTTCGGATTTGATTCTGATCCTCGGCTGCATGACCTCCAACCTTCTTGCACTTGAGCATTTCCACACTGTATTCTAGTCCTTTATGCAGAACTGATACCATCATCTTTTCTAAATTAAATAAGTCCCCCATCTCTTTTAAGCCCCCCCTCCCACCCCCCTCAAATGGGCTTGAAATAAAAAAGGCCTCTGGGGGGCTTAAAAGAGGATTTACGGTACTTGGCAACTTGAATAAGTGTTAGGCCCTGGATAAAACGAGAAGAGGCCAAGTGTAAGAGCTGGCTAGGTAGTGATCTGAAGTAATGACACTGAGAAAAAAAAAAGCTGGGGGAGGCTTTACAACCAGCCCCCTGGGCCACCATCCACCGCAAGGCATTTTTGTTTTTTTATTAAAACGATTTTGTTCACCAAAACAACAATGTATAAAAAAGGTAGTTAATTTACCTCGTATGTTTATATTTTCACCATATAATGTGCTTCTATTTGACAAATAGCCCTGACAGTATCACCAGTTTCAGTTTTCAAACACTTGGAGGACCTTTTTTATCACTTGTATAATATAAGAAGAATTAGGAAATATCTTTCTAGGCGGTCCACTGAGACGCTCATTCATGCATTTGTCTCAAGTCGTGTCAACTATTGTAACAGCTTGCTCTATGGCCTGCCAGCTTACCAGCTTAATAAGCTGTAGAGGGTCCAAAATGCTGCCGCTAGGTTAATTTTCCTGGAATCCAAATACTGCCATGTAAGAAAGTTGCTGTATAATCTGCACTGGCTGCCGGTTAAATTCCGAATTGACTTTAAGATATTATTGTTAACGTATAAGGCTATCAATGGCTTAGCGAATTTTTATCTCCAGGAACTTACTAGTCTTAAAGAAGCATGTAAATACAAGTTATGCTCCGATTGTGATGGACTGCTACTAAACCCTTTGAAATTCAAGACTTTAACAACGTTAGGAGATTGATCTTTTACTGCTGCTGCTCCTCAACTATGGAATTCATTGCCCTATTCAATTAGGAGTAGCCCCTCAGTAGCATCTTTTAAAAAGACACTCAAGACATTTTTATTTCAGAAAGCTTTTTTGTGATTTTATGTGGAAAAATTAGAGCAAAAATCATCCAAAATACCAGTTTTTTACGATTTAAGTAGTCTAGGTAATTTTTATAGTTTTAGTGTTGACATAATTGTTTTACTCTTTTTGGTAGGTTCATGCACTTTTTGCATGTAGACTTTATGCAGTCTTAGTATTTTTTTTAAAAATATTTTGGTAATACATTTAACTTTGACCAGTGAAAGTAACAAACTTAGCTCTGAAGGACTTTGTTTAGGTTTTGTTTGAGCATAGTAAACCCCCACCACATTCTGCTTACATGTACTCCTTATATGATATTGATCATTTTCCTTTGTAAAAGTGGTGGAAAATATGAAAATCAAGAATGACAAATTCCCTACCACCACACAAACCTTTGACAATAAATTCCTCACCATCACCAGCATGGGAACAAAGAACTTGCAAAATTCCCAACAATTAATGCTCAGTGGGGTTGAGGAGATGGGATGCTTGCTATTATTTATTAAACCATTACTTTCTGTACTTACTGAAAGGAATATGGCAAGTGTTGGACATTTGTTTTTGGAGACCAAGCGAGTGCATGAACGCTTGTTCCATGGTGAAAGTCTGTAATGTGCTGAAACTGTAACAAAGGAAGGTGACTATCTTGGGACTCCTCTTGAAAAAGACACATGCCCACAGATACTCTGTTTTCCCCACAGTAAGCAATCACGCCTGCCGCACTCTCAAATGGGCAAAATTCCACAACTTTTACATCTTCCACACTTTCAAATGAGAATGTACTGGGCACTTCTTGTTTACCAGCTATTGATGGCATGATGTTGCATCTCTAGATCAGGATCTGTTGAAATGAATTTCTGTTAGTGTGCTCGGCTGGCAAAAATCTGAAGCCGATCGCGAGAAGGACTCTGAAGATGACTACCGCACAGGTTGTCGAAACGTCAGTCACTGTCAACAACAACAGTCCTATTCGGGACTACGTTCACCAGGACGATCAAACTCAACCTTTTGAAATGACTCCTGGGTTCAAACCTTTCACAAGGATGAGTTTGTTATCTCATCGAAAACTGAATGTTACACATTTTAAAACAGACCAATGTTCAGCCAGTTCAAAGCTTTAACTGATATTTCTCATTAACCTGGTTAAAAAATCATATAGAAGACTTAAGTCTAAATGATGTAACCTAAACAGTTTAGGTAACATCAAAAAAACTTAGTCCCGGTTCAAACATCAAATTTCACATGTGCCGAGCTTAATTATTCCTATTTTAGGCGACTAAAATAGTTAAATACGAAACTTGATTCAAACGTCGAATTTAACTCTCTGAACTTTGTCGAAATTAACTGTGTTTGCTGTCAATATTATATTCCCAGTAATATAATAATAATTTACTAAAATTCATGCATTAGGTTCGGCACATGTGAAATGCGACGTTTGAATCAAAATCGAACCTAATTAAAGTTGAATCTTCGACTGTTAAAGTCGCACATACGGCAAACGTCGCATTTAATTTAAACAGTCGAATTTAATCGATTCAAACGTCGCACTTCACATGCAATTAACTCTCCCGTTAAGTTCGGCACATGTGAAATTCGACGTTTGAACCGGGCCTATTTAAACTGTAAGCTTGATATGTGAAATAATGGTCACCGTGCGTGGAGTTTTTATCATATATACGGCTTTTTATATCACATCAGCGCACTAACTATATTTTTGGATTGAAAAAAAGAAGGTTTACGGACTACTCACGGCAAAACAAGCTGGATTAAACCATACGTCGCTCTCCCGGTCGACGAAGGCAAAATCCGACAGGCCTTTTCCATTGAAAAAGAGCGGGAAGTATGAGCGGGAACTGGGAACAATAAGCGAGCTCGCACAGGACTACCAAGGACTACCAGGTAAGAGGAAGGGCCCGTTCTTCTTGTGTTTTTTAATACAGTCAACCCTTTCTAAGACGAACACCTTCGGGATCTGCCCTTACTGTCCGTCTTAGAGAGGTGTCCATCTTATAGGGATTCGAGGTAACGTGACACCAGTAATTTTAAAGTTGAACCTATTGGCAATGAATACACGTCGGTTTAACTAACACAAAACAGCTAAGACTGGAACATTGTAACAGAAAGAGCAATTATTTTCTCATTGTGCAATCAAACGTTCATTTCAAGCAAACGTTCACGGCTTCGTGGTCTAAGAGCGTAACAGTATGCACTCTTCGAACTGGAGCAAGACTTAAAAATATCAAACATTTTGCAATTTACTTCATGTAGAACAACAACATTTTGAGGTATTATTTATTATTATTAGGTATTATTTACTCAGTACATAAGGCACTTCACAATTGTCCGTTGACGGTTTCAAAAGTGTCCGTTGTCCGTCTTAGAGAGATGTCCGTCTTATAGAGAGTATAATTACAGTAAAATGACTGAAAAACGGCGGAGACCAACACCAGGTGTCCGTCTTATAGAGAGTATAATTACAGTAAAATGACTGAAGAACATTAACGGCAGGGACCAACACTAGGTGTCTGTCTTATTAAAAGCGTCCGTCTTAAAGAGGTGTCCGTGCGTCTTGTAGATGTGTCCGTTAAGACACAGTTGAATGTAATCACTGCCCAAGCCGAGACATTCTTTCTTGCACTGCCTCAAGTTCGTATACTTGAAAATATGATACTCAGAATTGAAATCGTGCTGTGGTTCGCACGGCGAGTTTGAGTACTACTTAAAATTAAAGACCATTAAACTGAAGATTTACCAGGAAAATAATGACCATGAGATCTACAATATTTCTTCACTCTTCGAGGTAGGCTATAGAATAGTACCAATCCTTCGATAAGAGTATTGATGCGTGGGAATAGGCTGGAGACGGGAGTGAAAACGTCTCTACTAAACTATTCGTCGGGAATTTCTCTTGAAAGAATGAAGGGTTAGTTTTTAAAGAACTTTGATGTTGCGTCGGTGGTGGAGTGAAATACAGTCAACAACAACAACAACAACAACAAAAATGTTTATTTCTCAATACCATTTACATCGATGGTCTTGCATCTTGCATAAAAAAGAAAGGAACATAATAAAATAGATTTAATATATATATATACGTAGACTTGAACTAGGTCAAAACCATTTACTTGCTACTCAGAGTTTCATGCTTCATGAGAAGCAATCATCAGGCAACTGCCAAAAAGAAACAGTACATGGTGTTTTATATAAAATAAAATAGGTTAATAACTAGATAGAAAGAAATGATCACGATAAATAACGGAAAATCACAGGGGCGGATCTAGGGGGAGGGTGCAGGGGGTGCGCACCCCCCCCCCCCCCCCCCGCAGATGCCACGGGGGTTCTTCAAACCCCGCCCCCCTGTCAAAAAAAAAAAAAAAAGGTGGTTATTTGTGGTTATATAAAGAACAAAACGAGAACCCCCCCCCCAAAAAAAAAAAAGACAGAACACCCCCCACACCCACCTAAATAAAGTGTTTGGGTCTTCGTTTGCAACAAGACTATTATTAAACAGGTGGGGAGGAAGGGCAAGCCCCGCGGGGGGGTGGAGGGGGGGGGGGGGGGGGGGGCCCACCCCCCCCCCCCCCAAAGATGACCTGCGGTTTTTTAATACAACGGCTATTCTGAAAAAAAAAAAAAACTATGTGGTTTATTGGTGTTGAAGTAGAGCAAGAGACGAGTGCACCCCCTCCTAAAAAAAATCCTGGATCCGCCCCTGAATCAACTGTAACAATAATTTGCGAACTCCTCCAGTAAGCGACCACCGACTGGGGATGCGAAGATTTAGTTGTCCCTTACGAGATCGAACCACAAGGAGTCTCTTTCTAGCACAGGTGGTCCAAGCTCGAAATATGACCATCGGGCACTGTTGCGTAACGTTCGAAACACAGGAGGATAAAAAGAAGGAAAATTCTAAGGCCGTCATCCTAAACAGTGGTCAGGGTCGCTTACAAGAGGTGGTCGTTTACAAGAGTTGGCGATTGCAGTAATTTTACTGGGAAATTTTTGTTTTTTTTTTGTAGATGGCCGCCCGGGGGGGGGGACTGCGCATAATGAAAGGGGTGGGGATGCTCGTCGTCTCGCTTAGGGGTGTAAATTTCGGATTTTGGTCTCACTTAAGGTGTTCTGGGCAAAACGCCATCATATTTAGCCGTGAAGGTCTCGTTTAGGGTTGCACGCGAAAAAATATAAATATATATATTTGATATGTATATTTTTAATTCGTTTTATTTACTCCATTCATATAATCCAAGTTTTCTCATTTGTCTGTGTTTTAACATGATCTCTTTTAGGGGTCAAGAAAAGCTTGGTCCACGCCCAGATCGGTCTCCTTTAGTTGTTTAATTCAAAATTTCCTACGAGCATCTCCACCCTTTCATATGCGAAGTCCCCCACCCACCCACCCACCCCGGGGGTGGCTGCTTCCGCAAATTTGGTGTTATCAACTGACAGTTCATAAGGCAGATTGGCCACCGTAGGAGAAGCTGAGCGGAAGCCCTCCGTCAGATCTAAAGCGAATTGACGAAGCACTAACGTTATCTCCATCCCTCAGTGGCCATCTTACAGACTCATTTGATAAAAACCGACATCTTTAAATTTCTCATGGAAAATAAGCTAATCTAAATAAATGAAGTTTTTTTCCACGTTCCCATCCGCTCATCAAGAAGCCGGATCAAAGCTCTTCAAGAAGCATCTTCTTGTATTTGGTACCCGTTTCTATCAATAAAAGGAGCGCGGCATATTTAGGACTGGCATGTACCAACGTCACTTTTGTACACATATCTTTTTCTCTTCTTGTTTTCTCTTCTCGCATGCAGAACCCGTCGTTTTTTGAGGGGCAACAAATGTCTGATAGAAAAGCAGTTAAATGACACTAGATCAAAGCTCACGATTTTTTACTTATCCAGGTTTGTACAATATTCGGCACTTCACTTCGGTTTGTCGATTTAAGGTGTTTTTGCCTTTATTAGTGTCCAATTCAACCTCGCCCTCAGATGAGTTCGTTCTCTCTCTCTGATCGTGTATAACGGAAAAATCCTTAAATAAGAATGACCGAGACCAGGTTTTTGAGCCCGCGAGACTGAGCACCCCACCCAAACCCTTGCTTTGGTAGGTACTTTATATATGATTCCTATAGTGTACCGAGGTACTTGTCTTGCTTGTGTGTCTTGGGTTGCTTTACTGTCTTGGCCTACTTCACTTACCTAGACGCAGTACACTATAAGAATCTATGTCTCGGTACACTATAGGAATCATATATGAAGTACCTACCTTTGTTTTCATTAAAACCGCTGGACGCCACAACCTGGTTGAGGACATTGTTATCTAATGTTTTCCATGTAACGGGGCCTTAACAGCCTTCTCGATAGAATCGAATAGAACCAAGTCGTCGATGCGGACTTCGTGTATAGCCATTAGTCTTAAATGTCATCCATCTCTTCGCTTACCTTCCCCCCCTCCCCTCTCCCTCCAATGCGCCCTTTTTCCCTTTACATTCAGGACATCTGATGAATATCTAACCACTATACACTCAATTCCTGCTCTATCTGGCAAACAAAAAGGCGTACGTACGCACGCACGTATGCATCATTAAAACGCCACTGTGCAATTCAATAGAAGAGTTATGCGTTCATAAACACCTGCTCGCTTTCATAAAAGCACGAGTTAATTGAATAATTCTTAAAGAGATATCTATAAAAGTAAACAATCTGGTTTTTTTTTTCGTAATAAATCAAACTGTGGCAAAAATATCTACTCTGGAATCGGAACGAAACATTTAGCAGGAAGAATTATAATTGGATCGTCGCTAATTGTGCGACTTTATATCAAGAAATGAATTTTGATTGTGGGTCAAGATAAAACGTTTTTTAATTGGTAAGCTTGTCGTTTTCTTTTACTAAAAAAAATATATAAAATCAATGTTTAATTTAGGAACGTTAAATGAAACATTTAACACTTGCGCCTGGAAATGAGCAGCTTGTTTGGCTGCCTCATCATTAATTCTGAGAAGAAAAATTTAAGGCATGTGAATTTTGCTAGGTTCTCATTTCTTTTGTTCTTGGAGAGTTTCTGTGGCGCGGCGAATAAGACATACTAAAGGACTGTTTGCATCCGGTACTTTCCTCAATTCGCATAAAGATAGGATTTACACAACAAAGAAATAAATTATACATGAGAACTGGTAAATAGCCTCTGAGTTTTGTTATTAGTTAGTGATACCGGATTGGCTTTTCACATCTGAGTCAGATTTTAAATGGTACATACACGCCAGAGAGTGAGATGGATTCGAAATCAGGCGGAGACATTCTAGTTTTGGCCGAAAATGTGAACGGCTTGTTTGATACGAGTGAATCCTCGCGGCGCGATATTAAAACCACAGACGTCTTGCTTCTGAACAGGAAAAGGTCTCTGCCAGCGGACGAACGCACAGATGACGAACTTGTAAAAAAGCGCTCCAAGAAAAAGGCCTGCGTGCCCGCGAGTTTGGCCTTTCAGGTGGACCCTTCCGCCGTAGCGCGTCGAAATGAACGCGAGAGGAACAGAGTTCGGATGGTTAACGACGGATTTTCGTGTCTTCGCCAACATATTCCGTATTTTCCGGAAAAGAAGAAACTGTCCAAGGTCGAGACTCTGCGCTGTGCAGTAGCTTATATTAAACATTTACAAGATCTCATAACAGAACACGATTCAATGACCAGCAATTCTGGGGAAAATTCGGAAAATGAGTGTAAGAACATAACAACCTGGGTCGCTGGTCAGTCATAAATACGTCGGAGCTTTAAGGTGAGTACAGTGTGTAGTCGTAAATTTTTAAACAAGAAAATTTTAATTTTTCTTAGTTAGTAGTACCTGAAATGATGCACGTGCTTTTTTAACTGGTGGTAAAATCTACCTGCTCTCCGCGTAGTAAATGTTACGAAACAACTAAAGGATTTGGTGTCCGGCGCACTATCTCAGTCAGAGAATGGAAAGCGAATCGATTTAAACGGCCGGAATTGAATGAATAGTAAAGATGTTGCATTTAAAATGCAAAACCCTCAGACAAAACTGACAGCCTTGTATTAGAATTCTACTCTTGGGTTTTACTTTTATTTATTTTATAATGTCGCTGAAAGTTGGTTATCCTTGGGCGTGTGTAAAATAAAAGGAAGGGAAAAATTGCAAACTCCACTCTTAGAAACACAAAGTCATGAAAATAATAATAACATAATCGCGAAAGGCAGAAATTCTTTTGGACAAAAAGTGGTTATGCCTGAGGCAATTCAGAAAAACATTCGATCATTGCAGGTAAAATTGAATTTATATTAAAAATGGTCATGTAAGATAAACTATGTCGTACGTGTTTCTTTTTAAATGTACTGTTTTATCGGAGTATTTCTCTCAAAATTAACCATACGATGTTCTTCCTATTTTCCCACAGGAACTAGAAAAATATTACACAGTGTTCCAAAGGACTGACATATGACTGCACTTCTAGGTCTCTCAGAGCGGTCTCTTAACGCCAGAATATTAAAATCAGCATCGCTTCACCTTTAAATTCTGAGACAAGCAGTTGAGTCTTCAGGTATATATGGTCATCGTATCCGTTAACTGGTATACTAAAGCAACGAGAGAGGACCACGACTTCGCTGGTACTACGGCGGTTTTGTCTTTCCGTGAATGGCTTAAATAAATTGTCTTTTGATGCGAGAACAAAAGGTCTGGGAAAACAAAAGCTATGGAATTCTGTTCAGATGTTTCAACAAAATGCATTGTTAAATCAGCGAAACTTAAAGTTCTTTTTGTACTCTCGGTTGTCTGTTTCCTAGTAATAGTGGCTTTTAAAGCGATCCTTAATTTTTTCACTTTTCAATGAGTTGCCAAAAAGATTTATTCTTTTCAAATATCTCAAACATTAATGGACCGTAATTATCTGGCCTGGAAACGATATGGATAAATGCAGGCGTCCAAATCAGGAAATTTCTCACTGTAAAACAATACGCTACACGCGGTTATCAAGACAATTTCCTTCAGAACAAAATTTTAACCGTCAGTATACGTAACAGCTTATGAGAGGATTCAGTCCTCGATTTCTTGAAATTTGCATTCATTAAAAAAGCTTAATGTTACCGATAAATCAAAAATTTGAATTAAGAATAGTAAAAGAGTTAGCGACGAAAGGTTCGGGCGAATGCCGTGAAAGAATACTGATCAGTGGGGAAACTGTACGCGAAGTACAAATTTCATTTACGTTAAAGTGGAATCCATTTATTAGCTGTTGTTGTACTACATAATCCGTCTGCGAAGAAATAGGCAAGAGTTTGCTCACTAATGGCGGCCGTCTTATCTTAGTTCGTCTACATAACGCATTATGCGTGTTAACTATATTCTTTGCGATTCGTCTAAAAATTAGTAATATCAGTTTTGAAAAGTTCTAAGTGACCGGTAAAAATTAAACTTGAGCGCATTGACTTTGAGTAAATGTGGTAAGAATAATTGAGGGAAAATGTTTTCTACTCTTTCTCATAAGATTATACTGTTTACACACAAAGAAAATAGTAGGAACGTATATAAAACACATATATAAATCACATTTAAAACCAAATGGCTACAGTGGCTGGAAAAAAAGGATTTCAAATATTTTCCAGTTTCTCGTTTATAAGTTAGAGACGTTTGTTCTCCGATAACTCAACGGATACGCGTGTATATATTTGAGTTCAAGTATTTGGTTTGCAAATGGTGTCCTTTGCCTTTATTTTATAACTCAGTTTTCGTTTTCTTTTACGTAACTAAAAAACCATACAGTACTCCGGTAAAAAAAAGTTCATCCTTTATTGTAAAATGCCAAGAAGAATTAATGTCTTACCTAGTTTTAACAAAGTTATTTGCCGTGAAGAAAACTATCACTTAGATTTTATTAGTAGCCGACTATGAACACCAAAGCGAATTTCTAACATTACCTTCATTTCATTTTGTCATTAATTATAATCATATCGACCTTAGGACCCGAATCCTTGAACGAATTGCAAGAACTGTCACTCATATGTCATATCACCCGAGAAGCATTCTGTATATTCAGAAACGAATCTTACACAAATTAATTTGAATTTATTAGAGAGTGACCAATTTTAATTTGATTTGTTTTACAAACATCCATTTCCTTTTCATTTGTCATTCTTTGTTAATAAGTTAGCATCCTCTGAGACCCCGGCGGGGAGTTCCTAACAGAGAAACAAAGGACAGCGAGAAGAAAGAGAACACTTTTCATTAACCAAGAGATTCAGAAAATTTCGGTTTAGATATAAATGAAACACACGTTTCTCGGGAATTCAATTGGAAGATTCAGCGGAATACGTGAAACGTTGAAAAGCTAGTCCCTTTTTTCCATTGGAATTTTTTTCAGATAGCTCGAAATCAGGAGCCCATTAGCCTGAGAAAACAGGCGACATTTGGGGACGCTACCATTGGGTTTCCCGCCAAATGACGTCTGAGAAACGAGCACAGAAATCCACTACAGATGACGCGTCACTACGTAGATCTGGGCCGGGTGCTTCTGATTGGTCGTGCCTCTCGGGAAATTTGATTCAACCAATTAGAAGCACTACCCAGATCTGGGTAGTGAGGCGTCATCAGTATGGAATTTCTACGCTCTTTCCTTAGACGCCATTTGGCGGGGAAACCAATGGTAGCGTCGCCAAATATCGGCTGTTTTCGCAGGCTGCCCCATTCTCGAGTTTTCACAAGGATTCACCAGCTCCAGGCTCTGGGCTGCCATAAATCTTGGCGAAAGAAGGGAACGAATGGAACTTGTGTCAAATGAGGGTCTTAATGGGGTTTTCCGTCAGCCGTCAAAGGGCCTAAAAATTAACCGTCAACCGGCAAAAATGGAGGTTAGAATTAACCTTCGAAAAGTTTCAAAGTATTTCAATCTCACTATATTTCAGCTGTTCTCCACGGAATTCCTGTTCCTAGAGAACTTCTAAACAGGAAAAACCACTTCCCATGTTCTCATAAACACTTTTTCTAGACGTTACAATACCTTACAACCTGCTTATATCTGAATATTTCGAAACTTCTCCAGAGAAAGGCAAAGGCCACCTTCGAAACTCATCAGTTGATATAAATTCATACAGAAGTTAATATTTACGTCAACTAATGAGGCCTTTTCAGTCGGGGGATGATGGAATAACGGTTTCCTTTGTCAGAAGTCAGAAGTTTTTTTCCCGAAAGGAATATATAATCATTATTTTTGACTGGGATAATGGGATCAAGTAATTTTCGAGCGGGAATAATTGAAATTTGAACATCTCATTATTCCCCTTACAGGTCCTACAGGTCAGTTTGCAATTTACACAATTTCTCGACAAAAACGCAGCATTAAAACCGGTGAATGTGACACTTTACATTGGCTTGCATGCCCAGGCTGGACGATCGGACATACAGTGACGTTACAATCATACAGAACAAGATCCCGATATAACGTAACGTATATCTGGATTTTACGGTTTAACGAATGACACTATAAGGGCGCGGCTTTCCATTTATCAGAACTGGCTGGCCGGACTATAGCCTGACCAGTCAGTTTGAAAATGAAATAGGCTTTTTCCAAGATTTTTTGCTGAAAAATCATCTCCATGGTGCATACTATTTAGGATTTGACTCATCTGGCTGGAGAGTTTTGATTATAAAAGGGAAATTCTCATCGCGACGGGAATGGTCTGGCCGGTCAGTTCTGACAAATGGAAAGCACCCTAACTCAGGCCTAGCCTGCGTCGTTGCAGCCGCCTGTATAGAGCGTATAGACACTACCAATGGTGTAGACGGTACGTGGGTCGGCTGCAACACAGGCTACCCAGGTTCCGTCCACACGAATCAGGACATTTTTAAAACCGCATACATGGGCGGATCTAGGGGGAGGGTACAGGGTGTGCTCACCCCCCCCCCCCTCGAGATGACCTGTGGCTTCCTAATACAGTTATACAAAATCTGCTGTATCGTTTGATATATATTCTCAGTAGTTCACGTTATTTTATTGCCTGGTCAAAAGTCTTTTTCTTCGTATTCGATTTTATAATTTGTTTACGTCACCAGTCAGTTACGCCATTCCTTAGTGGTGCCCTTCCCCCTAAGAAAAATCCTGGGTCCTCCCCTGGCATATCTTTTTACCCAGATTCGACTCTTTGGTGGGGGGGGGGGGGGGGGGGGGTATAAAAAAAGTGGGGGGGGAAGGGGGGTTGTGTAAAAAAAAAAAAAAAAAAAATTTTTTTAATTTAAAAAAAACACAAATTTTTTTGGTTTTGGGTCTTTTTAAAAAAAATAAAATTTTAGGAAGGGTCTTTTTAACAAAACACCCACTTATTACAAATCTAATGCTTTTTCGTTTTTTTTTGCGCTGGTGAAAAATCTTTTCTTTTCTATTTCATTTTTATATTTTTTTTCCACAACAAAGCGTTACCGCCTGTCTTAGGGGGTCCCTTCCCCCGAGGAAAAAGCCGGGGGCGCCCCCTGGGTATTCCTTTTTCACATGATTAATCGACTGTGGGGGGGGGGGGGGAGGGGGCGATTAAAAAAGATGTGGACGGAAGTCCGGTTTGTGTAAAACTAAAAAAGAAATATATGATTTAATTTCAAAAATATCCAAATTCTTGTGGTATTGGCCTCATTTATAACAATTAAAACTTATGGAAGAGGACTTTGACATAACACACCTCATTGCAAATCCAATCCCTTCGTAATTCTTTATTCACTGGGGTCCACTTAGACTGTGAAGCAGTAGGTTTTGTATTTTTTTAATCGCTTTTGCAAGGCGCGAACGAAGCGCCGGCGTGAGGGATTCTAGGGCGTTAAGATGTCCAAATTTTTTTAAAAAGATGCTCAAAATTTCTCAAAAAGTTGCTAAAAATTGCCCCCAAAATATAAATGTTGCTCAAAAGTTACCCCCAAAATGTTAAAATCTTCACGTTGCTTTTCATATTTTCCTCAAGAAGTTGTTAATTAACCTGCCAAAAAACCCTTTTTCGTTGTTCCTTCAGCATTCAATCCTAGCCTGCTTAAACGAGTTGCAGACACATTAAGATCGGCTGTTCCACGGACGTTCTGTACAACCAGCGGGGTTGGTTCCTATTTTTCTTGTCGGGGTATGTCAACCCTTATCTGGTACGGGGGGAGTGGTACACCGCCATTTTGAATTATCAACCCACCGCTGACCACTTGAATTGCCTTTTCAAACCAAAGGCATACCAATGAGGATAGCGCCCCACAATTTTTTTCTCGATGTGCGAAGAAATGTTTAGAAAACTGACCGTATGTGACTGTTTTGACCAAACCATAAAACAGAAAATGTGCTTCAAAGGAGTTTCAATTGCATTTTGCCAGTTTGATCTGTTATAATTTTTGAACACTATCTATTGTCTAGTAACATAAGAAGTTGCCCAGAATTCGAAAAGCAAAACATTTTTTTACGCTCCCCGCGTAACGCGCAAGCCTTTATTGAGGGAGAGAAAAAAAAGCCGGCCTCATTTTTGACGTACACAAAAATACAGACTGTTATTTATGCAGTCTAACTAAGTGACGAATGACATTTTTGGCATCAGTTATAAGGTACCTTTATCATTAACACCCATCTGATTTTAAGTAATCACAATTTTTTTCGGTCCCTTGACACTTCTTTGAATCAGGTAATCCACTTCTTTGATCACAAATGAAAGTCTTCCGCTAAAACGTACCTGTTTTGTAGCAAAATGACGGAAATGAACTGCGTTCTTTCAATTTGTTTAATGCAGCGAGTTGTAATTGTTAGCGGCCGCACCTGAGTTCATGAATGAAAGAAGGAAAAAAATGTGTGATCTTGTTTCCCCGTCCCAAAAAAAAACTTGCGAAGACGGCCAAAATTAAAACGAAAGAGTGTAATGCAAGTTCACAGCTAATGCTTTGCTACCTCAACTTAGTCACGTTCACACGGCACTGGGCCAATCAGTCTGACCGTCCGAATAATTTGACTGGACACGTCCATCGCACAAAACCGTTCACACGGAACTTTGAATTGCTAAGCGTCTATATTTCAGTACGGTTAAGGTGGTAGAGTATGAACAGAACACCTAAACGCGCATATTTTCAACCGGTCGAAAATTCGTCTGCTGCCGTGTAATGGAAACCTTAAAATTTTCTGCTTATGGTTTTTGGACGCTTTTAAACGCTGAAATCTACAACACGTCACTCTTGCTTTCTATTACATTCGAACTCCAAACTGACGGTCACCGAGGGGACCCCAGAAAGTGTCCGTATAATAACGAAATGTCCGTATTATGCGGGTAGATTATTTAGCAATTAATGAATTCGGCTTTCGTAGGATATGAAGAATTAAGCCGATCGAGGAGGGTGTTATGGCTGAGGTGGTTAACACCCTCCGAGATCTGCTTAATTCTTCTTATCCTACGAAAGCCGAATTCATTAATCGCTTTATTATTCATTCAAAATAATTCCTAGTTTAAAAACATAGCTAAAACATGCTTACCTGCATCGATGTTAAGTTCATCTTCGATAGCGTACGTTAAGGTTTTTCCAGCTCCGCAAATATTCACCAAACAGCAGATGTCGCTCACCCTCCGTGTTGTCTTCTTGCTGTTTTTGCTATGTTTTTATCTATTATTTCGCCAATTTCCAGCTGTAGTTCTTACTCTTGAAACGGGTGAAGTGTGCGCCATTTTTGTTTTCACAACCAAAACAACTCAACCTTTTCCCCAGATCTTCTCGGTAACGGTGCCTTAACCTGTAGGTCATTTCCTCGTTAAACATACCCTAGTCCCAGAGGTTTTTGTTGATTCTTCTTCGCGAGAGCAAGCCGCGAAGCGACTCCGCTGGTGGCTTGCTCTCTCTTTCGCGAAGAAAAATCAAGAAAAACCTCTAGGAAACTCTTCCAAATTTGGTCACCAGTAACTGGTTATGGTGAATTACGCGTGTTCTTTTAGCCAGTCAGAATTGGGGAAATACTTTGAATATTTTGAATGAATAATAATATTATTCATACATTACTAAAATTAAAAAAGTACTCGTTATAACTCATTTGTTTCCAAAAAAGTCAAAGTTCAATTTGTAGAAGCAGGGCCGACCCCGCGCATGGGCGGTACTTCCTATAATAGCTTATACGGGAGAATTTCACTTGCTGAACAGGTGCATTTATGGCTGTGAAAAAGTCGAGGAAAAGATTTGGTTTTGTGATTCATTTATATTTAAACGGTACATTTACAAGTTATCAACGAAGGTATATAAAAGGGTTAAGGGTTGGACCTCGGGGCGGTGGAACCTCCCCTTATAAAACTTTGTTAAATACCCTCTTGGTGGGAGGGGGGAGGGGTCGACGGAGTTCATTGTTCTTATGTTAGTTTTCTATTTTGTCCCTGAACAATGATAAGAATCAGAAAACGGACAGAAGACCAATAGGCCAGTAGAATACTTACGTCAGAACTCTAGGGAGGATTGGTACAAGCTTTTAGCACAGTGATTTCTAGGATCTTTTGGGTGGACAAGCATTAGTTATGATTGGTCGATGGTATCCAAGGCAACCATTAACCAATCATAAGTATTAAACGCTTGTTCACCTAAAGCAAATGATCCTAGGCATCATTGCGCCGAAAGCATCTACCTATTTCCCTTATAGTTTCTGAAATGGGGAAATCTGTACTCGGCGCTCGGTGCTCGGCACTTCCCTCTCTTCAATTGTTTGTTTGTTTCTTTTTCTCTTCCTTCCCTTTTTTTTCTTTCTATCTCTCTCGTTCAGTCTTTCTTTCTTTCTTCTTTCATTGGTCATACAATGCCTTAAGCGATGCCCACATGAGTAAAAATATTTGGGTGCCATCTGGAACAGCCTCATTGACACCAAACTCTGTAATTTGCATTCCTTAAAGAGATGACAATCATCTTCGCCTCTCTTCAGATGGGAGAACCCCCGAATTCACTGACAGCGCACTAGCAGCCCATAACCCGGAGAGAGAAACTAACATACTAAGCCTCTTTGCGTCGTTATTTTCACGGACGGGCTTATTTTTAGATACATTTAATAGATTAATCTATGGCTAGGCTATCTACTCTACAAAACCGGCGACTACAGGACATAGCTATTCTCATGTATAAAGTTAAAAACAACGTATGTTAAAAATAACGTATGTCTTAGGTACATTTGCACTTCATTGGACCGGCCTGCAATTGCGCAATCATGACTTCACTATACCCAGATTTAACACAGTCTCCTTTGGAAAGCACTCGTTCAGGTACATGGACCCAAAGGTATGGAGCTCTGTTCCTGGTAACGTGAAAGAAGCTTCCCCGTTGTCCTCTTTCAAATATAACATCAGAAAAGTGGATCTTAGTATGCTATTAGGAGATTATAATTGCTCAAACTGCTCTATTTCAAGTTCTTAATTTAATATGATATTATGGATACATATTGTACATATTGTATGTAGTTCTAACGAATTTCTTATTTGCACATAATGTATAACGTTTTTCTTGATTTCTTATTTCTTAACATTCTGGTTTTTCATCTTAAGTTAATTAATTAATTTATTTATTTTAGTGTCCCTGCTTAGTGGTTCTACACCACTATTAAAGTTGACACTTAGATCATCATCATCAGAGTACTTTTCCCGCGAAAATGGGAGCTTTGCTCCTTTTATGAGACTAGCGCATTCAAAGTATAAGATTTGAAAAAGGAAAACTAAAGGGTCAGAAATGCCATTTTCAGGTCTTTAGGTTTTGCTGACTGTTGTGGGACTTTATTGATACTCCAAATTAGCACCAAAATCGTTTTAAAAATAAACAGGTTGGTGAAAGCGTCTTGACACGAGGACTTGGAAGTTGCTCTCTCCGGGTTATGGGCTACTGGCGCACCCAATTTTATCGCTTTTCCTCTCATCTTTCCTTAGCTCATTAAAACTCTGTTTAAGTAATTAACAATAAGCCATGCTAGCCTTACGGGACATATATTCTGTCATTATTGTTTTTTCAAAGTATGCCCTATGACTATCTGTCTTGTCAAATTAGCAAATAGCTTCACGAATTATCACTTTCGCGACACGTATTTCGTATGATTTCGTATTGTCTGCCTCCACTGATTTCTGTAGTTGTCTCTTAACTGTAAGGGCCTCGTGGTTAAGTTTCACTGATTACAAATAGCAACCGCGAAGATACCAGTTGTATTTTGATTTGCCAGACCACAATAAAGACCGAATTGATTTTTTAATTTTCTTTTCAGGAGCTTTAAACACCATTTGAAGGTCCCATTTTTGTTTAAAGTCAAAAACGCCAAGGATTCTATACACACATTAAAAAAAGACAAGCGCACAGCGAAATATAGCACTTAGTTTGCTGCAGTCTAGTTCTTTCTCAACATTGTGTTGACTTCTTTTGTTGAATACTAGTCAGGAACGCCATTTAACCTCGCTTTTTCGCGTGACAAATTGTCCTTTTAACAAAACCACGTGGACAAGGTCATGGCTGCCGAAAAAGCGAGAAGTTTAGTTTAGAATACATGTACATAATATAGAATCTACGGGTGAAGTGCTGTTTTTCACTTAGACGCTGCTTAAGACATTCTGTGTTAAACAAGAAGCTTCTTCAGTCATGTATTCTCTGCCACAGTACTATAAGGACTTGCTCTTTTAAACAGGGAACAGTGATGCTCTGTTTGTCGAGTTTATTCAAATCTTTTGTCTGCCAATGAAGCTCTTCGATGACAAAGAGAAAGAAAAAGAAAGCATGAGTTTTCAATTCAGCGAATCTCACCCACGCTTTCCTGCTATAGTACTGATTAATAATAACGTTTATGAAATAGTTGATTGCACAGTTATAAAGCATACTCTTTTGCGATGTAGAAACTATATATTCCAGCCACTATAGGTCAAATGTGCGCTACATCATTAAGCACAGCAGCGTTTTCGCCTTGAATTATCGGTGATTAGAAGAACTATTCTCTGGCAATTTACATCGTGTTTGTTTTTAATACTGTTTGCGAAAAGTTCAAGCTGTCGGTCGGCAAAGGACAAGTTTGTGTTGCTAGGCACTGAATATGCACCTTTGCAATTTCCCAAAAATGGAATTCCGCAAGAAAAACAACATAGTTAAACTGTCAAGTGAGTTTGCACAATGAGGTCTTTTGTTTCATTTTCACACAAAAGAAAGGCTTGCTCATAAGACACGTTTTGATGTTCGCTTCACTCAAGTATCTAAAAGAAATGTATAAAAAATATATTTTTTTTAATAAAAAAAAGAAAACCATCGCAAAGCATACTTTGTGAAGCCTTTTGGATAAATATTTAGTAGCTTAGAAATACTTGCACAATTTGCCTCTTTGCGCTTGTTAATGAAGCATTTAAATGCTATTATCCAAAAATATATATTTAGTGTTTGTTCTTGGTTTCGCGAACCGTTCTGGAAATCGCACGTGTCTCTGTTCTCAGGACCGTTTTTTACTTATATTTAGTCCGCAAGACAACTTCTTCAGCCAAACTTGAGTACGTTTTATATTTGGAAGGCAGTAAACGGGAAATGTAAGACTCATTTCTGTTGTTTTTAAATTAAAAGAAAACTTAATGACAAAGATATTTGTAATCTATTATGTTGTTTGAAACAAACAGGAAAATCGCGAATAAATTCATCAGTTTAAGTTTCGTGACGAAGAAAATACTATTGACTAGTGATTTCCAAATCCCTCTCTAAGCTGTGGATTTTAGGCCGATAATCCTGTATTTTGTTAAAAGGCAAACCGAGAAAATTGTGTGTCTTAGTTTTTATCCCGAGCAGCCTTGTGGTAAATATTCTCTAAACCTAATTCTGTTTTTATCTTCTCGTTTTGATAATTGATTCATTTGCATGACAACTCAGCGCGGAAATTAAAGAGAGCGTTTCTTAAAGCAATTACTGTGAAACACTTAGCGAATTTTTAAACATAAGGGTTTCTTAGCGGAAAATCTACTACGGGAGGTAATATAACTTTGTTATCTTTGGCATTAAGAACCGAAACAAAAAATAAAATAAAACCTGAAAACATGAACGATTTCATTCAAAACTTACCCAAAATCTCAGGCCTATGTAGCAGTGAATTTTCGTCAGGGAGTATAAAGAATTAACACTAGAGTTCGCACATCTTCTGAGTTTAGTGGAGAGCTGTTTCAGAATTCTTTAACGGTGCTTTGTGGCTTTGAAGCCTTACTGAACAGTCCAAGCTGCTCGCTTCAAGCAAATATGATTGTCTGAGATCTTTTGGTTACATCCTGGTTGCATTCGTTCTTGATTATCAACTTTAAACAAGGAACGTAACATGTACAAATAAACAAAGCCCTACAAAATACTGAGAGAAAATAAGCCAAAAGGATAGCTAACACTAAGACTTATTCTTCTCGATAGACCCTTTGGTTTATGCCAGTACTGAGTGATGTAAGCGAAGCGAAAGAACGCACTTTGTTGGCGCTTAATTAAGAGGAACACACTAGCCATACCATTGTATATCTTTATTCTTTGTCACCTAGGATGCCAAATACTTCGTTAGGTATTGTAATGGGAAAGCGAATTTAAGTTTAAAACCTCTGAACCATTCAGCATAAAATACAAGTGGGAGTAAAGAGGAATCTTCCAGGAGAGTGCGTCAAAGTTGAACAACCTATATGCGATTTGTTAGTACAGCTGGATTAAGCAACAAAGGCCGAGATCTGTGACATGCGCAGTATAGCTGGACAACCTCGCTAATTATTGTTCTCCGCAATGACCTTTTCACGAATCGTTTATCTCAAGAAAACGTATTTCAACGTCGCGCGGCCCTTGGTCTAAGGACATCACTTATTCTCTTTCTTAATAAAACGGCAATATATATTTTTTGTTTTAAAAGATATTTTTTATTCATTTGGCTTGTACTCGCGTAATTATTTGCCACCATTATCTGTTAAATTGAGCGGCTTCCTGATTTTCCATTAACATTTTATGCACAATTATTGTTTCTCTTTGCGCTGCGTCAACTTTCGAATGTTACAAAAGTTTAACATTTAAATTATAAACCATTGAAAACTGATGAGCGCGCCAGTGGTTAAAGCCAACAAGGCGTCAAATCGACAAAGTGTTTTCATCGTAACACCGTCCACAAATTAAGCTTCAAGTTAACCGTTTCGAAGGCGAACTTAAACTAACTGAAGAATGCATTTAAGAGAGAGATTTTGTCCGCTAAATACACTATTCCAACTACATTATGCAAATTCACAAAGTTAAACTTAGATACAATTTAGTTATTAAAAATTTTTTCTATAAACTGCAAATGTTTGTAGTCGGAAAATTGCATGGACAATTTTGTCTCTACATTCTAAGATGAGTTCAGCTAATATCCAGAACAAAAGTCCAATCGTTCTTTTACCTGCCTGTAAAAGGTGTAAATCTTCTGCTTAAATTACAGTCATTTGTTCTGATGTCCATATTGCATGTGACTGAGCATATATTTACTTACACAAAATAGAAAGACCTTACTGGGAATTTGAAATCTTCTCCTAAAAAAAATTCAATGTTCTTTTTTGCAGTAGGCTCGATCGGTCGCTCGGAAAGAATCAATCAACTGTTCTTTTTTACCTCTCTTCCTCTAAAGATTCTTGTCTTTTCTCTACCTCCTTGGTCTTATCTTGTTTTTCATCTTTTCCGACATCAAGCAAACTCTCCAAGTGTTTAATATACCTGATAGCAGCCCGGAGGGTCTCTACTTTTGACATTCGCTTATCCGTGGGCTCGTCTGGGAGATGTTCCCGAAGTCGTGCGTAGCCTTCGTTCACATGGCGCACTCGAATTCTTTCGCGCTCGTTCCTTTTCCTTATGAAAGCAGGCTCCAGATTGTAATCGTACAGGGGATGTGGTATCGGCATAGTCATTGGAGGTCCGTAATAGGGGGGCAGTTGAGAAAGCGGTGCGTTTTCACTCGGGATACCAAGTTGATAGCACGTCGGCATTGAAAAGGCAAAATCTGGGTACTCCATTCTGACTGAATTAATTTAAGCAGTTTCTAATTTGACGATATCGGTGAGAAATCTCCAAACGACGGGAGGAATTCGAATGTAGATAGTTGGAATCGAAGCTTGTGCTACCACCGTTCCCAAAGAAACACAAGCCCCAGATCGAAATGCTGTTGACGAAATGTATCAATGTTGGCCACAAGAGCAAAAGTTAAACTGAAATGAGGTTTTGAGCGCAGTTTAATAAGTCTCCACCTGCTGCGATAGCCAATCAGATAACGCGTTTGTTTTGACAAACGATTAATTGGATTATCACAACTTTCGATCTCGGGAAATAAAGAGAGAAAAACCGCGTGTGCCTCTGCGCTAGAAAGGAGCTCGTTAAATGGGAACAGGAGTGGAGAACAAGGAAAGCTGACGTTGGAGATAAAAACTGGAGAATTTATGGCTGCCCTCTGTTATGCTAATTCATTGCACAGAATTTAACACCTTTAAATTATGCTGCAGTACGCAGACACATAAAGGCCTCAAATCTCTTTAGGAAGAGGAAGCTAGTTTTAAGGAAGGTATTGAGCTTAGGAATGTTATAAATAAGTTCGAGACGGTGAGAGGGAGGTTGTAACGTGAGTTTCATCTCTTCAGTGTACCCGTGGAGTTTGACAAGGTGAGCTGAACATATAAAACCGATGATTTTTCATAAATGACAGGGTGGGGGTCTTTGAAAGAAACTTCAACACGCGGATTAAATCTTCCCAGCTATTCAATCTTTGACCCCTGAGGTGATTCTCAAAAGAGGATTGTGATTTATACGGAGCCCAAGTCACTGCTAAACACAGGATAAAGGTACGTTTGACTTAGATGCCCACAGTCTGCGGACACTGATCGCAATCGAAAAAGCGATCCCAAAAGGTTACTTTTAATAGGAAAAAAAGAGTCTTTATCGGTTATTGTTAAGAGCGATCGATTTGTGCAGGTAATAAAGATTACGAGCTTTTGTGAGTTGATAAGTTAAGCAGAACAATGAGGCACCGTCATGTTATAGCACACTATAAACTTGTAATGGCAACAATCTGTATTTGGTAAACACCTCTTTGAAATGGTCAACTTGATACAACAAAACGTCGCGCTACAGTGGTGCGTTTCACAAGAGAACACATTCCCCTTGGCCTTACTGCCATCAAACAATTCTCATTGGCCCATAGATCACATGCAGGAAGGTGGGTGTGTTTTCAAAGTGGTCATGCTCAACACATGCTTGGCCCATCTGCACACGTCGCACATTAAGTTTGGGCTTAGCCGGCAGTCTGTTGCTGAGGCTCACACGTCCTAAAACGTTTTTTAATCGTCTTATTTTAAACACATAGCATTGAGGTTGACTGAAATTAATTGTTAGCACCTGCTTATTGTGTCCGACTTTTGTTCCACTTGGAAATACAGCTCAGTCTCGCGGCGATGAATACAACACAAGACAATGCATCTTATCTTGCAAACAACCACAGAAAATCCTCAAAATACCCGCCATATTGTTGCAACTTAGCTGGTTAGCTACACTCTGTTAGAGAAATCCATAAGAGAAGCAGAAAACGAACACGGGAACCGTTTATTCCTGAAGCAGAAAGGGGTACAGCACACCCTCCTTCGTCCCCCTTTTGGTGAAGAGGGTGCAGAGCTACCGTTCACTTGGATAAGAATCACTTTCATGAATATACAAAGATCTGCCTTGATTACTTAAAAACAATACTTCGCACAAAAGAAATTTGCTCTTATTTCCATTCGACACCTTTGGTTATGTTGTTTTTGTGGCAAGCACTTCACACCGTACGTAGTCTAGAACGACACAATGTCCCTGGTAGGCTTCTCCCTTAGCCTATATTTGGTCTGAAACGTGATTGAGTCTTGACCTGACAGTGTTGCGACATCATTTGTTAAAGCACATGGAGAGATGTATTGCTTAAGCAACCCGTGTGTAACAAAAGTAGTACACAAACCGTACTAATCAGTGGCCAAATCTGTAGCTAATTATCATATCATGAGAGCGTAAGGTATAGCTATTATTCCCCAAACAAAATCGATACTGCGAGTTTTATTTTGTAACCACTTAGCACGAGGAGAAAAACCGGCATGGCATTGGAAGGATTTTAAACAATTACCTTTACCAAAACACTTTTGACGCAATGAGGACCTCATTAAGTAGATCACACTACTCAAGGCGATCTCTCTACTTGGGGCAATTTAAAAATTCAGGACAACACCCTGGTTCCTCGGAAAACCCATATCATAGGAGTTATTCTTCAAGTAAGAGCAGATAACTCGCAAGATAACGAGAGAAAATCATGACTAACTAACTTCTCGCTATAAAGTTTGTATCCTTAAGCACTTTTTAATAGCTTCTCATTCACAAAGTATTCTTTTGTCATCTTTTGCATACTAATGAGGTATTTGAGAAAAAGCGAAATTTCTGACGGTTTTCTTCTGCGGAGAGGAGTTTTCTAAAAGAAACTTTCAGATCGCTGATTGTAAAATTATAATTTACACCTTCTTATCTTCTACGATGGTGAAAATTTGACTTCCTGAACTTAAACCAAAGCCAGGCAGTTTAACTCAATTAACGTAAAATTTGGGGAATATTCTCGAATATTCATGAGCTAGATTTAAAAAAAGGAAAAAATAAAAAAAGTGAATGCGGTGGCAAGGACAGAATAAAAACCCGCTAAACATGATCGTGCCACTAACCGTGTGTAAACAAAAAGAAGAAAATCAATCTTCACTCATGATGAATAAAAATAGCGCACACAAGTGTGATTTTTGTATTTTTATGAGAAATAACAAGAAACGCAATAAAAACAAAACAAGGAAGCAGCTGAAACGTTCCCAACGCCTGCATGTAGACAAAATGTTGTATCCTTTCTTTTATTTGGTGACATGCCCAAGGTTACCAGGAAACTATAAAGTTTTTATTATCATTTATCGGCAGGATCGCATCTACATGGTATAGTTTCAGTAGCTCCTTTATGTATTTTTAGCGTCTAGTATCTCATCCACTATAAAGTTGCTTTAGTTAGCAATTTAGTTATTCAAAATTTTCCTCTATAAACGGTAAATGCTTGTAGTAGAAAAATTGCATGGACAATTTTGAACTGCTCTACTCTCCAAGATGAGTTCAACGAACAAAAGCCCAATCGATCTTTTTAGTCGCTGCCTGAAAAAGGTTTAAATCTTCCGTTTAAATTACAGTCATCTGTTCTGATGTCCCTATTGCACGTACACCTGAAAGTCATGATATTATCGGATCATCTAGCAGAGTCTCACTAATAATAAGTGTATTTTTATACAGTTGCACAACTGTCTAGCAGATAGTTTGACGTAGGTTAAGTTACCTGGCAACATTTCCTATTATTTTACTTAATTTGACCATCAAGATGAAACAACAATTCTAAAAGATTTTATTTAACGTAACATTTTTTCATAACTCCTCACTGAAACATGTGAATGCTGTATTTCATAGCGCGCCACGACTCAAATCTTTTAAGCTCCACCACGAACCTTTATTGCCGTTGTGCTTAAATGGCTCTTGACTTAAACCATTATATGCTTAGACCAACTATTCTATTCTTAATTTTTCTGCTCTCTTGCTGCTGGCGATTTTCAACTTCCTCCATTAGAAACTAGCAGAAAAGGAAAATAATATGACATATTTCTTGATACCCAGTTAAAACGCAATGGAACATAAAAGAAACGCAAATAAAGCAAACAATTATCAAATTTACTCCGAGTTTAGAAAACATAAAAATCATGTTTGGTGAACTTTTTCGGTTTACTAAATAGAAATAATTGTTTCTGATATTAGCGAAACTCTCCACAAACGTCGATATCTTTTCGGCCTTAAATCGAGTGAAAATGGATTTCAGTAATTTCCTTTCACTGTGGCATTATAACCACTAGGGCCTTTACTCAAAAGGGGATTACTCAGCGCTGAGAAAAAAATAACAAAAATTAAATGCTCTAATCTTTAATTTGTAAACGTGATACATAGGTACTTTTGTAGAAAAAAAAAATGAAGCGTATAACATTATAGCTTGTAACTCTTTGAGCAGTACAAAATGGTAAAAAAAAATATGTTCACACCTTTCCGGGCAATTACTCTAAGGAAGTCAGTTGAGATGATTGTGCCCCCTTAGTCTGTGGAATTTAATTTATGCACCCTAATTTTGATTCTTAGCCAATGCCAAGAGGTTTACATCGCGAACTTTTCTCTGTCGTTAAAATTTCCAAGGCATTAAACATGCTAAAAGGTCGGCAAAATTAAGGTTGTCCTTTTTTTAAAGGCGCTTAACGAACGGGAAGGAGAGCTGAAAAAACTTTCAACAAAAAGGGAAAAAGGTATTTCACACATTAAAAAATCATTTAGACAACCCTTAACACGATGGGCTTCCGAATTTGAATATTTCACAATTGATCAGGTTAATGAAAACTCATTGAGAAATCTAAATTACAGTTGACTGAAGTTTTGCCTGAAACAGGTGAATCAACTAACAAGGCGATGAGCGCGTGCTGTCCACACGTACATGAAAGAAAGCTCGCGAAAAGGAACACATTGTTCAGTTTGATGAGATCAAAGCCATGGGAGACTCACACGACTATCCCTCGGTAAATATATGCTTTTAAGAGGGTGACAAGCGACAGAGTAATGATTTTTAGCTCAAAGCTTTCATCCACGCTTGATACACGGAAGTTAAGCCTTTGGAACACAAAGACGCGTGTGCCTTATTGCGTGACGACAACATGTTAAGATTTTTTATAGTAACAAACTGCCCAGTGTAACAAACTCATCCTGAATGGAAACAAAAGAGGCACGTTCTGTAATCAACTGTAGTATGTCGCCGAATGGCTATTAACAACTGCAAACAATGCCTAGCACACGATTATTCACAAAAAAGGTATTTGTTTAAGGAATTTTATATCTGGACTGTCCGCGTAGCGAGGTAAATGTGTCAGCATATTGTGTTCACCGGGCAAGGTAGCCA